CTGCCCGGAGCCTTTCCCGGCCGTTCCGCCCTAGGCTCAGGCCGCGGCCGAGGATCGGGTTAAGAGGCTCTAGTCGAGCTGATTCTGAACTTAATGTCCGGTTTAATATCTGTTTGCAAGGGATTAGAATATACGCTCAGAAGGCTTATGTGTTTTCTAAGTAGCTGTCTGGTTGTTCAGACAGTCATCTCATAGCTGAAGCCTTTAAAAGTTAGTAGAACAATGTACGAAGAAATTTAAGACGAAGAACGCGCTTGTACTTTGAATATATTATTTTTTAAATGTTTTTTCCAGTAGTGATAACGTTTATGACAGGAGACCAGAGATGTCAAATGGTGCGCTTTAAATCTGAATTTAGTGATAATTTTGTCTTAAATGCTTATCTATCTGTCAACAATGAAGCAGGAGTTAAGTGCTGCAGTTATGTGCTGCAGTACATAACATCTTTTCTTTCGGAAAAAGGTGAGATTCTTAAAACAGTCAAAAGATGCTCACAACTAAAAGTAACTGTCATGTAAAATTTAAGCATAGGAAGACTGTTTAGTGTACAAGGAAGCAGTTTTTCTGGCTTTACCGTGATACTTGTGGTGTCTGTTTGTTCTTTGGGCTTTTCTAAGGAATTCCATAGCAGAACAACATATTGCATGCTTTTAGATGGCTGAATTATAATACAGGTGTAGTGTTCAGCAAATATTAATGCCTTTTTCTCTCCTAATAGATTTATTTCAAAAATAGAAGAAGTACTGAATGACTGGAAACTTATTGGGATTTCTTCAGGCAAACCTCTAGAGAAGGTCAGTTGCTGCTTCTGAATTTTCCTGTACAATTTGAATTGCTAATTAGTAATACAGTAATGTACACATGTATTTAATCTATTGCTGTTTTTGTAGGTGTGGCAGATAATGACTTTATTAGGGAATTTCACTTATAGAAGTGTCAATTTGACAAACAATTACTGTAAATTCATTGGTGGGTCATCTGCCAAACAGGCTGTTTCCCTGACAAACATGGATCTTCTGTAGTGCTTAGAGATTTTTTTTAAATTCTAAGTTTGAATCTGGAGACATGCTTGAAGCTGCTCTAAATACTCAAGGAGTCTTTTTGTCCTGCCTTGTGCTTTTGTCACACCTCATGTATTTATGGCTGAGGTTTGCACAGTGCTATTTGTGACTCAGTGTGTTTCATGGATGGGAGAGATTTTTTCAGCGACTAATTAGAGCCTTTGTGATGCTTTCTCAGTCCTGTGAAATGCAGAGGAAATTGCTGAGCTCTTCTGCATAGTAATGCAGATAAACTCAGCTGGTTTGTATGGAACGGCTGCTGTGTTTCCAGGGGAATCTCAGTGCTTTTCATTCTAGTCAGGTACAGAGTATTTGGAATAAAACTTATGTTATTTAATAAATTGCACTTTAGCTGTCCCTGTATTCCTACATGTCTTTTTTCTAGACCAGAGCTCTCTTCCTACCACCCTGTAAGATCAAAGGATTGTCCAAGTTGCTTTTAGTAGGAGCAGTGGTGCTGATTTTTTTAGACATTCCCATGCTGTATTTTTGTTTAAAAATTAATTATTCTTACACAAGTTTTGTAAGTTGTAGATAAAAATAATCATTTGTTGGTGAAGGTAAATATCAAGGTAATATTTGCACAGAACAGTTTAGATATAGATAAAGTCCCAGGTGGGAAACTTCTGTCTCTAGGCAAAGATGAGGATGGATATATTCAGATGTACAGTTGCATATGTGAGGGTGCAAATCTTTATTGCCATGTAGTTCTGAAGGCTGCAAGATGATATTTGATTTTTGGAATGAACATGGTTATTGGCAAAATGGATTTTAGCAGCTAGCTACCTTTATAATGAAGAGCTTTGAGAATTGCTTATTGAAATTAAATCATGCTGAGCCATTAGGCAGTAGAAAAATGTGAATCAACATTATTGATCACATAGGCAATATTTGAAAGACTAATTTTAAAGACTTTTAAAGACTAATGAATGTTAACCTAAATTTATGAGATAATGTCTTCCTTTTTTATATGCAGGGTATATTTACCACAGGAACATGGGAAGAGAAATCAGATGAAATTTCATTTGCAGACTTCAAATTCTCAGTTACCCATCATTATCTTGTACAAGAGCCCAGTGACAAAGATGGGAAAGAAGAGCTGGGAGAAGGTACCTGATAGTTCCTTCCATAGCTGTAAGGATAATGCCAGGAGACAGTGTCAGAATGTGGAGTCCACAGTGTGCTGATTTGTCTGTGTGGGGTTTTCTGAGGTCTGATGAGTGGGATCTGACACTTCTGCTCTTAGTTTGCTTTGCATTCACACAGTGCTAATACAAGGCAGTTGTAAGTGAGCTGGATGGATGTGATGATACATTGATCACGTATCAATTTTTGTCACAGATGCCCTTCCTCTGCCAATGCAGGACTTGCTGTGCATGAACAATGACTTTCCTCCTCGAGCCCACTGTCTGGTGAGATGGTAGGTGTGCTGCCTCTCATCTCTACTGCAAATGAGCATAGCAGCTGGAAAATCTGGCACAATCAGTTAAAGCTTAAATCAAATGATTCTTTATACTAGACACAAGAAGAAAATGCAAAAAAAGCCTGCTATAGTGGGCCTATCTTTAATTTTGTTTTTTTTCCCCCCAAATATTTGTCCCAATTTCATATATTAACCAGGCTTTTGTATATGTAATATTTAGGTACATTCTTAAAAAGGAAAGCTGCACCACCTTAACAAACAACAATTATATTCTTAGTAATGCAAATCTCGAGCGCATAATAGGATTTGTTCTAGAGAGATTGGCTTTATGTATAAACAGTTTCAGTCATTATGAACACAAACTGGAAAACCTCAGGGCTGCTAGACCTGGAAGTGCTCCCAGTCAAACACATTGCAGTTGTTGGAATGCTGTTACACTCAGGCAGTGTGTGAGTTCAGATCTGCAGCACCCCATGCCCACTCAGTTCTTGGCCCCTCTAAAAATAAAGAGGTGCTTGCATCAAATTAACAAATTCCACAATCTGTTGGTGGCAGTTGCGTGCTCCAGGTCACAATATTTTTTAGGAATCATGTTTCAGCTGGCTTGCCAGGCACTGGAAATGTGCATTTTCTCTCTGTCTCTCAAGGTACGGCCTACGTGAGTTTGTGGTTATTGCTCCGGCTGCGAATAACGATGCTGTTATCAGTGAATCCAAGTGCAACCTCTTGCTGAGCTCCATTTCCATTGCACTGGGCAACACTGGCTGGTAGGTGAAACATAAACCTTTTGACATGTCCAGGTAAAACTCCAGCATTGGTGAGGAAAAAGTATTAAATTGTTAGCAAAATACATTCATCGTTTTTTGTTTATTCGTGTAATATTGTTAGAGAAGGATTTTAAAAATCCCCATCTTTTGTAAAGATTGAATCAATGTTTTGTTTATTTTAATTATTGTTTGAAAACCTTTAGGGCTGTTAAAAGCTACTAGAAGTTGTAGGAATAATATGTAATTTATAAAACATCACTTTTGCAAGAGGATTTCTTCTCTATGTGTAGTAAAAGTAACTTCCTAATCTTGCTCAAAAATTACATAGACTGAAAATGAGGTAAGAGAAATCATGAAGTGGGCTGTGATTATGGCATGGCAATTTGTTGGGCATTCTGTTTAATGACATTAACAGTGATTTTCTGTGATTCCTGTGAAGTGTTTCAAAGTGTGTTCGTCTAAGAGAAAATATATTCCAAAGGCTGAAATGATGTTGAAGTTATGCTAGAATATTGCGCTAGTTTTAGGGACTCGAGGCAGCAGGACCCTGAGTGATGTGCACACTGTGTTGCTGTGTTGCTGTGTGCAGTCAGGTGCCCCTGTTCGTGCAGATCCACCACAAGTGGCGCCGGATGTACGTGGGCGAGTGCCAGGGCCCGGGCGTGCGCACCGACTTCGAGATGGTTCATCTGCGCAAGGTGCCCGGCCAGTACACCCACCTGTCGGGGCTGCTGGACATCTTCAAAACCAAGATTGTGAGTGTAAACTGATGCTGTGTGTGATTTATGTTCAACCCCTAGGGTGTTTGAGAGGATTTACTCTTTACGTTGGATTTGTTCTCTGGTATTTTGAAGGGCTGCCCTTTAACACCTCTGCCTCCAGTGAGCATGGCTATTCGCCTGACCTTTGTGCTCCAGGACTGGCAGCAGTACTTCTGGCCACAGCAGCCACCAGGTAGGAGACTTGTGTCCTCACAATAACTCCTTTTCAGACAGCCAGACAATGCTAAAGAAAATATTTGTGTATCTTGCCAGAAGAGTTCTAACATTTTTTGCTTTGCTAGGAAAGGCTTCAGTCCAGTCCCACCCTGTGTGATAAGCAGTCCAGCTTAAAGCTGCTCTCAGCTTGTAGCTCATGGCTGGGACAGGTGTTTTGGGTAGGGCTGTGCCTCAAAATATGGGTTAGTCAGCATTTAAAAATACAATGATATTTCTAAAATAGTGGTATCTATGTGGAATGACAAGAGTGACTGAATCTGTGAAGAATTCTGCCCTGGATTTCTTAGATAAATGTTTAAATTCAAATTCTAGAAGATGCTAATACCTCATGGGAGTTTTTGTCAATTCTTTTTCCATAAAGTACCTTATTTTGCTGCTTCACTATCTAAGTGTATTAACAGTGGGAAAAGCAGAAAATACTATATGGACCTCACTTGAGGTAAAGGTTTGGTTTTTTATTATTGTTGACACAGTACTAAATTTAATGCAGGAGGAATTTCTGAACAAGCCTTTTGTTATAGTAGCCTTGCATGAAGGGGAGAAATAATGTATAGGCTTAGATTTAAAGTATATAAAGCAGACTTGATAAATTTATGCCATAGTGATGCTGTTTAGGAAAAACAAAGGTAGTTACTTGTTTGGTAGTCTCAAAATGATCTCTTTTATTCTTGGTGGTGGTGCTGTCTTCCTTGACTATCAAGGACTTGGTTTTAACAGAAATATTTCTATATAGTTAGTAGCAGAAAATAAATTATAAACTTTTCAAAGATAAACAAACCCATAGGAAAAAGGTAGATATTAGTTCCTCCTTAACTGATGTGGTGTTTTAGGTACAAGGTGATGGAACAGTTAAAGTGCCCAAGTTCTTTCCTTGGTTTGGTAGCAATTTTACATTACAAGCTTGAGGTATTTAGGGTACATTTGGAGAGACAGAATTCATGTGGCCTTGGTTTTCTAAATGTTTGGCTTTCCTTTGCTTAAAAAATACAGTAATCAAAATCCTGTGTTTTGAAGAAGTGTGCAGTGAGGTTGATTAAGGAATGTATGTTGAACATGTTTAAAGAGAGTTCTGCTTATTAGAGAGAAAATCAGTGCTGTTTTAAATGATAGTTCCTCTTTGGTTAACCAAGTTTACCTAAAGAACTTGGGAAATGAATTCCACAGATTTTATCATTTTATTGTTTCTGCAGACACAAAATCTATTTTCTGTAGTCTCTGTGCCTTGCTGTAGGTATTCACTAAGTCAGGATCTCAGGTTTGTCATGGATGAGTTGTATCACTCTGATCATATTTCTTGATTATAACTTCCACTCCTTTAGCAGCAGAGTTGTGGTTAAGGGTGTCCAAGTGTGTTGCAGAAACTGGAGATGGACAGCATCAGTTTTACTGCTCTTGCTATGTGCAGTTGTGGTTTTATGTTCACTGGGAAGATTATGTACCATCACTCAATTAGCTCTTCTCAAATAAAACCAAAGAATTTAAATATCTTTTATCTTCTCTGCAGAAGAAATTATGTGATTAAGTTATCCAGATACTTCATCTGCTAATCCCTCACTTGTTTTGTTTGTAAACAGTTTGCCAGATGCAGTTAAAATTGCAGATCAGATGCTGTAATAGCATTATTATAATGGCATTACAATACATTATTATTATTGCCCACTTTAATTTTTGTTCAGTGGGGGCTGTCTGGTTTTGATTTATGTATTTGAAGGCTATAACATTGGTGCTGGGAGGCATCTCTGAGTAGCTGGGACTACAGGGAACCCCCCAGATTATTTGATTAAGTCCTCTTTTGATAAAATTGTCACCTTTTAAAAGTAGTTGTTTTTTCACTCTGCAGAGTTGCTCTTCCACTCTTCCTTCTCTGCTTGGAACTGATTTCCTGCCCAAGCATTTTTATGGCACTTTTGTGTCTGTTCTTGTGCCAACATTGAATCTTCAGGGCTGTCTTTATATCTGTCATCACTGCCTGTATGAAGGGAATAACCTTCCCTCAAATGAATGACAAAAATTGTATCTGTCCCTTTGAATGTCCCGTTTCAGTTTCTGGTGGAAGCAATTCCTCTGACTGTGTGTTAGGATTGTGTTCTCCTAGCTCAGTCACCTCTGGTCATCCTGCAAGTTACAGTGAGATGCAGTGAAATGAAGTGCAGTTTGCAGTGAAATTAAGGTGATTTGCTGCTTCAAATGTTCCACAAATTCTTTATGGAAAATGTGTTGATTTTTCTCCAGATATAGATGCTCTAGTTGGGGGAGAAGTTGGAGGCCTGGAATTTGGGAAGTTACCATTTGGTGCTTGTGAAGATCCTATTAGGTAAGAGAAGAGTTCAGAAAACTGTTTTATAACTTCCTTAATGGAGAACTGAAAGGTGTTATTTCAAATCTTGGCTTTGCCTACCTGCCACTTAGCATGTCCAGCAGATACTTACTTATTCAAGTGCATCAGAAACATCTGTAGTGGGTAGTGGTTTAATAGAAAATAAGACCATTTGTAAAATTGTCTGATATTCAGATTCAAGCTCATATGGCTTTTACAATAAACGTCTACAGTACCCCATTTATCTCTGAAATTATCTTGAAATATAACTCAAGATAAACCTTAAAAATTTTGTGCTTTTGTGCAAGGGTTGGACTTGCTGTCGTGTATGCAATGAGAAAACTTACTGGAGAACAAAGAGGGAATCAGATATGATCTATCACAAATACCTTTCAAAACATGAACTGTGCTGAAGGGAAAACTTTCTGCTGTCACTGAAAGGCTGAAATCCTGTTTTGTTTCAGTGAGCTGCATTTAGCTACAACATGGCCTCACCTTGCAGAAGGGATAATTGTTGACAACGATGTTTATTCGTAAGTATCTTGTCTGAGTTGCAAATAAGTGTGCTTTTTTGCTCACTGCTGCATCTTAGTGTCATCTCAAACACTGTGTGGCTTCACATGTGAAAAAGAACCCATTTTGAGGAATGCCAATGTCAGCTGATAGAACATCTCATCTGGGAAAACACATTTTGAAATGCATTTTGAGAAAATATTATTGTGTTGTAATCTCAACAGAACACAAACCCCTGGTTTTGAGCATATTCTCATGTTAGACTTGAAAATTTTGTGTATCACATATTTCTTGGAAGAGATGATAGTAGAAAGGTAAAAAAAATTCACTGCTTGATATCACTCTCCCAAAAACTGCCATCCAGCTTTTCTGCTAAAGAGGAAGAAGTGTTTCTTGTTCACGTCATGCACAGACATGAGAACAGGGACTCTTGCTTGTCATGTTCTCCTATGTAATGTGGTGACATGACATTTATTGAGAACTTGGTACTCATCTTTCTGATACTTACAGTGGCATTTAGTTTTCTTTTTTCTTTTTTTCTTTTTTTTTCTTCTTTTTTTTTTTCTTTTTAAAATTTTTTCCCCAAGCGACCTGGATCCACTTCAAGCACCCCAGTGGTCTGTGAGAGTTAGAAAAGCAGATAACCCTCAGTGTCTATTGGGTAAGACATCAGAATTTCCTGTCTTCTCTTGCAGCTTTTAAACTAAAACTACCAAGTTGTGAAGTTAGGGTTGAGTTGATTACCTGATGGTTTATTTGCTCACTTCCCTCATTTTTTTGAGTGAACAGTATTTTGAGTTTCTTTTTCAAGAACACAAGCTTTGCAAATACATTAGTTCCTGTTGTGGTTTATTCTGTGTCTGCGTAGGGTGAAATTCATTGCTATTCTTATTTCACCAGGTTCCAGAGAATAAGAATTTCTCTGTGTTCTGTGAAAATTTGCATTTCCTAGAATCTTCCCATTTTATTAAGAGTGTTTTGCATGTATCCATCTCCTCAGTTCAGCCAACCTTTCTGACAGGGAGAATTAATATTCTGGAGAGCTGTACTCCTCTGTCTGTCCTTGCCTTTGAGCTTGTGGGGAAAAGGCTTCAAAACTGTGCAAGTTTCATGTTGTTTTGGGTGAATCAAGCTGCAGGCAGAGCTGTGCTCTGGAGAGGTGGCCAAGAGATGTCTGGTGTGCATTTACCTAAGATCTAATTATGTGGGTTTAGTTCTTCAGATAATTTAATTATGTGGATTTGTGCACCAGATATTTGTGCTTCAGAACAAATTATCAGATGTTCTTTGAGAAGAAAAGATAAAAATTACTGTCCTTGGGGCATAATTTAGAGTGTTGGCTCATTGCTCAGTGAGGTTTTTGGCTGAGTTCAGGAGCTTTGTTCCTCTGCCAGGGGATTTCCTTACTGAGTTCTTCAAGCTGTGCCGGCGGAAGGAGTCAACAGATGAGATCCTTGGAAGGTCTGCATTTGATGAGGAAGGAAAAGGTAAAGCTAAAATCCAGTTGATTTGTGTTACTTGTATTTAATAGTTTTGGGCTAGTTTGCCTTCCCTGTGCCTTTATTTTCACTGGTATTTATAACTCTTACACATACCCCTGGGAATTTTCTGGCCAGGGCTTCATGGGGACATTTCTCTTAAATTCTAGACAAGTTCAGCTCCCAGAGGCCCAGAGGGACAACTGCCTCTGTTAATGTTGTGTCTGTTTCTTTTGACAAGAATAGAAAAGCTTAAAATTTGACTAGAATGTACAAGAGTTGCTTGTAGGACACATCAGGATTGTCTGTATAGTTTTATGTATTTTTGCTTTTTCCACTTCTTTCTCCTTTTTGTTACACTCTGTAGTACACGTCAACAGCCAGTTTAAAGAGTCTTTAATCTGTGTGAAAGGCTTTGCTCTCATCCTCTCCATCCATTTTAAGGACTTTTGAGGAAAAAAGAAAATTAAAACTTCCTAAGTTATCTGACCAGCAAGTTGGGCTTTATCCCAGCTGTATAAATACTGCCATCTTTTTGAAGTCTCTGTCCCTCTCTGGCTTTTCTTGATGTATATTGTGAAAATTCCCTTTCTTCCTGCTGCTTGTCACCTGTTCTTCCCTCAAAATATGGCCTGTATCAATGTATTTTCCTTGGTTATATTTGATCTTAGTTTTGAAGGAGCTTGCTAGTGAACTCAAAAAGGTGTTAGAGTGAGGAGGGTGTGTATTACTTAGTGCTTGGCATACAGTTCCTTCAGCCCTTCTTAGCTCTGGGCTAAAGCCAAAGCCCAGATGGGCTTTTTCAGGCTGCTGCTGCTGCTTAAATTTGTCAGCTCTGCTTATAACAGTATTAATTCAGTTTATTGTTAGAGACATTCTAGAGTTTACCAGCAGCAGGTTTGAAAAAACCCAGTCTTTTGGTTTGAGAAGTTTACCTGAGGAATCTAAAACAGAATTGTGCTTACACTATGTGAGGCCAGTGATTAATACAGGATTTATTTAATATTTATCTAAAGCTTTAGCATATGCTGGAGCAGTCTTTGTTACCTGCAGTGTGTTTATTGGGATGATGTAAAACCAAGGTTTAAATAGTGAGTCTTTGGGATACTCTGTTGGTAACTCTGCAGGAGCAGTGCTGCTGCAGCAGGCACTGCCTGCAGCCAGCTCAGTCTGGACTTCATTTGGGGAATTAAATCAAGGACAGTCTGTGACTCATTTGTGACCTCCTTCTGCTGCCTGTATTTGCTAAGAACAGTGAGTGTCAGCCTGGAGCCTGGCAGCAGAGGTGTAGCTCTGCTTCACAAGGGGCTCAATATCAATACAACATAGACAGACTGATTCAGCCCAGTGAACTCTTGAAGAGACTTGTTCTAGTGTTTGGGGGTTTACTTTATTTTGTTCTAATTGTTTTAATTTTATTTGCTAGAGGTTGCTGATATCACCCACGCGCTGTCAAAGCTCACAGAGCCAGCACCAGTCCCAATCCCCAAACTGTCAGTCACAAACATGGTTCACAGTGCCAAGAAGAAGATCCGCAAGCACAGAGGTGTGGATGAGTCTCCTCTGAACAATGAGGTGCTCAACACCATTCTCCTGGTGAGTGAGCTGGCCCTGCCCATGCATTCAGAGAGCACTTCATACACTGATGCATTTGCTTTAGAGCCTGTGGCAGATTTAAAGGTGTCTGATGTCAGTTCCAGTGCTTGAATTGCATTTATCAGCTTCTTGGAACAGCCCAAGTTGTTACAAGTCTGTGTAGTCTGGACTAAACCTGATTTCTGAACTCTGCTAACAATTTTAATTACAGGGATTGCTGGTATGAAGCCAGCAGTAACTTTATGGAGAAAGTGGAAAAGGCAGGAAAACCATATTGATAGAAGGTTTAATTTTTTTTTTTTCTTCAAGTTCTTATTTCCTGATGCTGCTGACAAACTTGGAGATGTATTTGAAAACAGAGCCAGCACTTCAGCAGGAAACAATCCTCCTCCAGAGAATGAAGATTATGTAAGTTTTGTTGAGTGACATAAGAGAGAAAGCAATTTTGTGTGTGTTTATATAGACTTTGCTGTGCTTGTGCTATATCTTGTAATACTTAGCTTTTGGAAAGATGTGGAGTCTCTTTTGGAAAGCTTTGTGGAGTCTCTGGTTAGAAATAGTGATGATTTCTGTTTCCTTGGAATTCCTTTCTTTTTCCAAATACTGTAGGTTTTGGTATCTTCTAAGCTTAAAATGTTGCTCACATGGTTTTGGAAAACAATGCCATTGTTTCTGTATTTCTTGCTTTCTTTTATTTCTTCCCTAGAATCTCTTCAGCCAGTTTAAGTCTGCTCCATCTGACAGTCTGACATACAAATTAGCTTTATGTCTTTGTATGATAAACTTCTACCATGGAGGAGTCAAAGGAGTGGCACATCTTTGGCAAGAGTTTGTGCTGGAAATGCGTTACAGATGGGAGAACAACTACCTTATCCCAGGGTGAGATTGTTGTTGTTGCTCCTTGGTCATGGAGAATGTTCTTTGTTCCAGGAGCTGAGTGTGACTTTGAAACAAACAGTTTTGGGGTTTTTTTAATTGCAAATGCTATCTCTGGTTTTGGACACACCAAACCAGGGGCTCTCTCAAGATGAGGCAGAGCAATAACATACCCTGCACTTAGGGTTGTGGTATTTTGGTTGGGGTTTGGGGTTTCTTGTTGATGTGACAGACTGGCCATTTAGTCACTAGTTTGTACTTTGAAATGGTTACACTGGCAGATGAAATAGAAGCTGAAATGTATAGCAATGACTCCACTGTATCATTGCAGTTTTAAAAGTACAGTCAAAGATGCTTAATTCCTGTTTGAAAGCAGTTACCTTTTCAACTTCCAATTGGAAAACTGACCAGGAATGCAGAGTGTTTCACACTAGTGTGAGTGATCTCTGAGCTCCTGAAATGACCTCTGGGAAATACATGTAATTTAAATTCTGGGCTTGTCTGCTGAGATAATAGAGGAGCTGTGTAGTTGAAATGGTGGGAGTGGGTTCAGTATGGGTGTTTGTCCCTGTTCTAGATTTCATGTGATTTAAGACCACGTGTTTGAAAGATTCAACTTTATAATTGATAATGGTTGCACTTCTACCTTTTGTTAGATTAGCTAATGGCGCTCCAGATCTCAGATGTTGTTTACTGCACCAGAAACTCCAGGTAAATATCCCAAAATTTAAGAATGATTTTTCTCCTGAGGAAACTGTCAAAATTATAGCAATGATTAGCTAAATATGTTGTTTTGTTGATTTAGTTGTGCTTGTGGTTTTTTGTGTGTGGAATTTATTTTTTGAGAAAAAATTTGTTACAGCAACAAGTTCAGTGGAATTGTTATCTTTCAGAATTTCAAGACCTTTTCAGTGGCTGTACAAGTTTTTCTGTATGATTGTCTCCACAAGGGAAAGAATTGCTGAACAATTTTTTTTTTGTTCCTTTAACTTGTTAAATTAGATGCTAAATTGTTGCATTGAAAGGAAGAAAGCAAGAGATGAGGGGAAAAGGGGGAGCATGTCTGATCGTTCTCCTGGTGGTGCTTCTGGTGACGGTGCCAAAGGAGGAGAGCACTCTGGAGAGAACCCTGACAAGGAAAAAGAATTTGGCAAGTCTTGGGAATCTTGGAGTGACAGTGAAGAGGAGTTTTTTGAATGCCTTAGTGACACAGAAGATCTTAAAGGAAATGGACAGGAAAATGGCAAGAAAGGAGCAAAAGAGTCTGTAAACTTAAAACCAGAAGGTCGTTTGCACCCACATGGAAAACTGATGCTGCTGCACCCAGGAGAGCCTCTCTACGTTCCCATAACGCAGGTGAGGGAGCAGGAGCTGAGAGCACACAGAACATGCCTCATACCTGGGGTTGGGAAACTGCAAACAGTTTGCAGGTTACAGCCTTGTGTGTTGTTAAAATTGCTGGGTGTTTTTGACCTAATACCTTGTTTTTAATCTTTAAACTGAATGAGGCTGCCAATCTCACACATTCTTTGTTTTATTTGAGAGTGAATGCCCGTACCAAATTTCACTCCAAATGATATTTTTAAAACAATAATTAAACTTCCTTTCCTACCTTAAATATGGGGTTCTTTTTATTTCCAGCTCTTGAGGCATCTTGCATCCCCTCCTTACTTTCTTTTCTATAAAATAGGATCTCCTATGGTCCTTGCACCACGGAGCTTTCTGCCTGACTTTGCACAGTACTGGAGCAGTTTTGCTGCTGTATTTGGTTTTTTCACAATTTTTCTGCTCACATCTAAAAGGCCACAGTCATTAGGTTTGGTGCCATTCTCTACAGCAGGTTTATTATCAAACAACTAGAAATGTTACCTGACATCAACAAGCTTTCTTGCAGAGTGACCAGGGAGGAAATAGGAAGTGGTGCTGTCACAGAAAGTAGTTCAAAATCAGCCATGCATGAAGAATACTGTGGTTTTCATTCTCTTGAGAGAAATTACTTCTAATTAGTGTTGTTTTGCTTGGGTAAAACATACGAGCAGAGAGTAGTCAGGCAAAATGTTCTCAATAATTATGTGCTGACAGTATTGAGAGCAAAAATTCTGCATTGCTTTGGGTAGATTTTCATCCATCTCAGCAAAATTATACCAGTCAAACAAACACTTTGTGGATTTCATTAGGATTTTGGCATTTTAGCAATATATCCTTATATTGTTGCCTTATTTCCAGGTAATTCTCTGTGTAGTTTCTTTGTTAGTGTCCTCTTCAGATGCCCAACTTGAGGCTGAGCTGTGTAGGCAGTGGAAAGTTGTGATCATTTCCTCAGAGTGCAAAGGAAGCAGAGTGAAGTAGGGGTGAGAAGGAGCTTCCTGCTCCTCCTGCCGTGCCCTTAGTGCCTGCAGGAGGGGCTGTCAGTAACGCTGGGTGTTCCCTGTCCCAGGAGCCGGCCCCCATGACCGAGGACCTGCTGGAGGAGCAGTCGGAGGTGCTGGCCAAGCTGGGCACGTCGGCGGAGGGCGCTCACCTGCGGGCGCGCATGCAGAGCGCCTGCCTGCTCTCGGACATGGAGTCCTTCAAGGTAGCGCTGCTGGCACACTGCACTGCCTGCTTCCTCATTCACCTGGCCCTCTTGCTTCTCTTGGACAGTTCTGAAGGTTTCTAAGGTGTTTTTTCTCCACAAAACAGTTTTCAGTTAGTTTCAAGTTGAAAATAAAAACCTGTTGGGAAAACTCTTGGCACACTTCAGAAATCTATAAGGATGTGATCTGTTACACTGTGACGTCCCAGTAAACTTACAAAATGTCTGTGGGAAGGGAAAAAACACATCAAACATAAAATTAATCAGTTGTGAATTAAAACAGACATTCATCAGGTTGGGACTGGACTAACTGTGGTTTTGGGTTTTATTTCCCTCTGAGCTCTGCAGGGGGAGCTAAGAGCACATCCACTGCTGTCAGCACAGGAGCTCAGCACTAAAAAGACTGGAGATTCTGAAATGAAATAGCCATGTACATCTTTTTAATTATTTCAGTCTTTATGGTTAAAGGATATAATGTGCTGTACAGTTAGAGTATTTATAGTATTACAGTAATCACTTTATTAACAGGGCCTCATGGCATAATAAATATATGTAGAAGTTTTATTTATATGGTGTAAGTAATCTAAAATCTCAGAGTAAAAATAGAGAACTGTAATTGGAAGCACACATGCGCTCTTCATAGATACATCAAATAGAAAACTGGGATTCCTTTTATGTTCTGGACCTGTAGATGTAGTCAATTGTGGTCATATTGCATCTATGAAAAATGAAGGGTTTTTTGTTTGGGGAAGATACTTCTTTAAAGTTCCTTTTCAAAAGAAGAAGAAATGGTGAATTTTGTCACTGAAGTGTTAAAAGATGGAAGGTCTGTACTGAAAGCATACTTAGGCAGCCCACTGATTCTTTTAGTCTTTAATGGGATAAGTGAAAATTCCTATTTATTGCATGTGGCAGGTGCCAGGTAGAATTTCAACAGTATAATTTTGAGCTTGCATGAAATAACTGATAAATGTAATGAATGTACATCTAGTGAGTGATGAAAAGGTGATTTTTTTTTTTTTTGTCGTTGCTGCTGATAGGGGTTTTACCCCTGCTGTTTTCTTGGTTTATGCTTTATTCCCTCTATCCTACTGTACAGTTTGTTGGCTGTGGACAAAAGAATTTTCTGAATTTTGTCTCTTATTCTGTGCTCTACCCACTAAACCATATTGCCCCCCTAGCCATGCTGTCATGTTTTTGTAGGATTTTTCAGGCACAGATTTTCTGTCCTCTCCTCCCTGCAGGCAGCTAACCCTGGCTGTTGCCTGGAGGACTTTGTGAGGTGGTACTCACCCCGGGACTACATCGAGGAGGAGGTGATTGATGAGAAGGGGAACAAAGTCATCAGGGGCGAGCTGAGCGCCCGCATGAAGATCCCCAGCAACATGTGGGTGGAGGCCTGGGAGACAGCAAAGCCAGTCCCAGCACGGAGGCAGAAGAGGCTTTTTGATGACACCAGGGAGGCTGAGAAGGTGAAAGCTCTGGGGCTGGTGCCAGGCTGGGCTGTGATGCTCCCTGCAGCATTTAAACACTGCCAGGCCCTTGCACTGTGTCCTTGGAGGTACTGAAGTGTTTAGTGCATGGCTTAGGGTTGCTTGGAAATTCCTGCTGCTGTACAGGAGGGTGTTTGATGTATCTAAAAGTATGCAGTGTTATTTAGGTATTTCTTTAAATTATTAGTAAATAAACGAGATTTTTAACTGCATATACATTAGGAACATTTTAGTTTCCTAATGCAGTTATTTTTAGTTTCATTCCAACCTGTTGGGCAGATTGATGTAAAACTGCCTCTCAAAGTCTTACAGTGGTGTTCCATTCCTGTGAATTCATCTTTCCAAGGTAACCCTGTCTTTGAGAACTAGTTTTGATCACTAAAATATTAAATTTTCTAATGTTGCAGGTACTTCATTACCTTGCAGTTCAGAAACCAGCTGACCTTGCAAGGCATCTCCTGCCTTGCATCATCCATGCAGCTGTACTCAAGGTAAAGGAGGAAGGTAAATAATGTTTAATAAAATATTCAGATATTTAAGGGGAACAGTGATGCAGTCAGTAATTACAACTTTGTTTCTTTCCTTATAACAGAAGCAGTAGAAGATATATCTTCAGTTAAGAAGATTATCAAGCAGATAATATCCCATTCCAGCAAAGTGCTACGGTTTCCCAGTCCAGAGGACAAGAAGTTGGAAGTAAGGCTTTTGTACTGGCTGGGGCTGAAAACCTGATTGACTTCTGCACTGTTCATGGCAATGTTAAAGGAACATCTTTTTAATTTTCCCTTTTATTAAACTCTTGCAGGAAATCATTGCTCAGATTATGAGTGTGGAAGCCATCATTGCCAGGGCAAGGTCTCTCAAAGCAAAATTTGGGGTAGAGAAATGTGAAAATGAAGAGGAGAAAGAAGATCTACAAAGGTGACCTTTTTTAATTCTTATTTTTCACTGTGTTGTTTTGCTTTTCCTCTGATGCCCTACTTTCAAAACTTAGGACAATGGTGACAATAAAGAAATATTTAGGAATCATATTTGGGTATCCCTGTCACTAGACTGTCTAGAGATGATGTGTGTGGGTACCTCAGTGCTCCTCCAATTAAGCATCTTTTGGAGACATTTGATCAAGGTTTTTTAAATAGAATTTGGTTTTATATTGGCAGTACTGGGGACTAACTTTTTTTTTTGTGTATATAAAAGATATATTTGGTGAGCTCTGTTACCTTACCTAAAATTAGGACTAGAAATTTACTATTTTTTATAAATATTATGGAATGAAATAGCCTCTTCCACAGTTGTTTTCTTATTCCTGTCTCCTTGCTGATGTGAAACATCTCTGACCAGCTCAGAATGGGAAGTGACAAGGAATGTTCCCTTGCATCATTACCTGCTGTCAGGTTATTTACTTGCTGCTCAAGATGAGTAATGTTATAAAACCCAAGTTAACTTCTTGCTGCTGTGCTGGGAGGGAGGGATGACATTTGTGCAGTGCATGTTGGGAGTTGAGAGATGTGGTGTTTGACCCAAGCAATGTCTGTGTGCTAAAGAAAATTGTCACATTGTGAATACTTCTGCTTGGCAAACACCATGGAGGCTTTCCTGTTGATTTTATACATCTGCTTTAGGAGCCTGGGCTTCATTCTTAGGTAACTGAGAGGAGAATTTTTTCTTTCAAGTTTTAGATTAGAGAAGCAAGAGAATCTGCCAGTTCTCACCCTGAGCAAACGATGCTTGGTGAAGGCCTTGGCACAGGAAACAGCTCCTTTGGGTCAGCACCCTGGATCTGGCCAAGGATTAACCATTCCTCTTTCTTTTTCATTTGTTCCATCAGATTTGTAAACAGTCTCCTGGAGCAGCCAGAAGTGTCAGTGGTTGGTGCAGGAAGAGGACCTGCTGGCAGCATCATTCACAAGCTGTTTGTGAATGCTCAGAGGGTAAGAGAGCTCTGGGTTGTGCTGCAGCCACTTCTGATTTAACCAGAATGAGCCAATGAGTTACCATATGGTGCCAGTGTATTCTGTCTGCATTTCTGCATGTACTGTCATATATGTGCTTGAGGTGTTTCTGTGATGTTCTACATGATTTTGGCAGTAACAGAACCTTGCAGGACCAAAGGAAAGTGAGTGAGCTGGGATGTTAAACAGTTGAAGCCAGCTGGGTAGACAGAGGTGTCAGTAATGCTTTATGTACTGCAAACAGTATCACCAGTAATGCTATTAAGGCAAGGCAAATTTCTGCCTTATCACAGCAAGGTCAAGTGTTGGTTGTTTCACAGAGGAATGTAGAGAAACAGGTCATAATATTACATATTTTAGAAGCAGTAACTTCTTAAACTGAGGCTTATGTTTGGAATACTTGAGATTTTTTCTGTGGAAACCAGCATGCTTAGGAAGTTTCAGTTCTTTTTCAGTTTCTGCATTCAGTTTACCAGTGTTGCATCTGTTTTCTGGAGACGCTGCCCTTGCTGCTATTGATAAAAATGTTGCCTTTCTCTCTTAAACAGTCTTTGGAATAATTAGTCTGAAAGTATTGATTTCCAAACCTCATGGACTGCAGTCAGCCTTCAGCTCCTGTCAGAATTACACCTGTTTATAGCATCAGATTTTCTAACTCAAATTTAACTGCAGTGGTAAGAACAAGGTAGCAGCCTGAAATCCCACTTGGAAATAATTGCTGGAAAAATGTTGTCATTGGGTGTTAAACACTTTAAAAGGATCAATGCTTTTGTAATAATCTCTAATTTGCAACTCGGCATAAAAAGGACCATTCTGAAAACAGACCGTGGTTATTCTGAGGAATGAAAAGCAGGACACTTCTTTTATTCTTCCAGTCCCTAGGGAAATTGTGTTTGCAGACCTGAACCTGCTAACCAGCCACCTTTACCCTTCAAAGCCCAACATCTGTGCCCTGTAAGTGATGCACACATATGCACCTGCCTCTTCAAGAGAGGCAGTGGGTTTTCAAATCTAACTTTCTACCCTTAGGATGTGTGCAAATTTCTAGGGTTGTGTTTTGAAACACCTCTAACTAAAGCAGGGTTACAGGTATTTCCCACTAGCAGCTGGTCAGTGTTAATTAAGGTTTCTTAATGGGACAGGAACCAACTTGCCACAAACCCCACTTTGTGTTTAACCTGCCATGAGTTATTTCAGTAGAGAGCTGTTTAGTTAATAGAAGTGCAATTCCCTGTTCATTACCTTTTGAACCTGGACTCCTCTCTGAGCTGTGTATAATGTGTTCTGTTCTTGAGTTTTCTCAGGAAAATTCTGATAGCCAGTGCATGTTCTTGGAGTGCATGATGTCTCTTAAACCTACAGTCTCCTCCTAACCTCTTGTAAGTCACCTCTGACTTGCCTTTGTTTCTGTCTTTCATCACTGGTTCTTTTCTCATCCCTTTCCAAGCTGACTGAATCTTCTGATGAGGTAACCAACTTTGTCCCTCCTTTCCCTCTCATCTTCTCTGCATAGAGCTGAACCTTCTGGTGGATATAGTGCAGCAGCCAGGTTTAGTTTGTAGTGGTGTTCACAAGTTGAGCATAAAAGTAACTTTGTGTTTCCAGAATGGTTTTTCTGCATTCACACTTTATTTTCAGAGCCAAATAATGCACAGGAAAAGAGAGAGAAATGTTAAAAAAAAAAGTTTTTCAAAAAACCAAACCAAACAAAAACCTTTATTCAAGTGAGTATTGGTGTTTTCTGATGCTGAAATATGTGGCCATGCCTTTATATTCTTTGTTGCCACCACTGTTTGTTTGTTGATGTTTTGGGGGGAGGTGGTGGTGAACAATAAGCTGGGTGCTGCATTCCCAACACTAGTGCTTCCTGAAGCTGTGGAACTTTCTGGACACACATATTTGGCAAAGAAGCAGGGTGACTGTGTGAAGTGTAGCACAGGGAAGATCTCTCTGTTGGCTTCCCCAAGCTGTTCTTGTGGGAACACGTGGCACCTGTCCCTGTTGTGTGGCACAGCCTGCAGGGCTGGTCCCTCCACTCCTGGGAGCACAGGGGCAGCAGCACAAGGGGCAGCTGTTGCTTCTGCCACACCTCAGGGATGGTGCCAGTGTGGAGTTGTACATGCTTGAATTAGGAAGTAGGAAGGACCCTGTTAGGGTATTGGGGGAGATGTGTGTGTCCATAGGAATATGTAATCAGGGACTGTGTATTGGGCATGCCAGCCCTTCTTCCAGTATCCGGGTGTCAGTGTTGCTGCTGCCTGGCTCTGAGACAGTGAACAGCTGTTGGGACTGTGCAGCAGGGGGATTTCAGCAAGGCTCTCTGGCCATGAAAAGCCCACCCTGCAGTAGTATTGGAGAGTGAAAGGCAGGTGACTGTCAGCACTGCAGTAGTGGCACTGATGATTTTCAAGTGAAAGCTGCCTTGGCCTCCTGCAGCTGCAGGGAGCTGAGGAGAGCACCCTGTGTGAGGAGGGGCCATTTCCTCCAGTCACAGCCCTTGCTTCACACTGCCACATCAGAACTTCAGCTGGGCACAGCTTCACCATCCACACGAGGGTTCTTCCATCTGGTTACGTTGGCTTTATTTCCTAGCATCCCATTAGCGCTTTGCTCTGTGTGCACATGAAGCCTGTAGCTGCGTTCCCCATTGCTGCTCTTCTCCGAGAGCAGCTTTGCGAATCCGCCCTTAGGCAGCAGGCTGCCCTGTCGCTGTGCTCTGCCGCAGGTGCCCGCGCCGCTGGAGGAGGAGCTGCGGCGCTCGGGCTGTCCGGAGGAGCGCAGGCAGGGCGTGCAGTCGGAGTTTCCCCCGCCCGCGGGCCGGGAGGTGATCCTGCGCGCCTCGGTGCCCCGGCCCGCCCCCTACTCCAAGGCGCTGCCGCAGCGCATGTACAGCGTGCTGACCCGCGAGGATTTCCGCCTGGCCGGCGCCTTCTCGGCCGACACCACCTTCTTCTGACGCGGCCGCGCCGGACTCGCTGCTGCGGAGCTGCTCCCAAGGACTTGGTTCGGCCGCCACAGCTCAGCTCCGAGGTTTGGAATGGCTGCAGGAGTGGTTTCAAACTCTCTGTCCCAAGGGAGCATCTCTTCCTTTCCTTGCATTAGCTTAATTACGGACCTGAATGGGCTGTGTGCAAATATTCATGTTGAAATTGATGCAGAATGTGCTGCTTTACACTTCAGGATCAGACTTTATCAAGTGACGTTAGTCTACTTAAATCGATATATATAAAAACATTAAGTAATTTATATTTATTACTAATCATAATCACAGAGCCCAGTATTTTTTGGTTAATCACTGTTTCAAGTGCTTCTGAAATATCCTTATTTTTATTTAAAGTGTACAGTTCATACTCTAGTTTGTGCTAAAGTCTCCTGGTTGTCCAGATCTCTTCACTTCTCCCAGAAGACAGAACTAAGTGGACAGTGAGTCTGACTGACAGCCTGCAGTGCATCACTGAGGTGAGGGATACTCTGTATCCTTCCCTTGGTGCAAGGGCCAAAGCTGGATGGCAGTGACACCCCGGACGTGTTTCACTGTGAGCAACTCCCTGGTGTTCACCCAGGCTATTTGTCTGCACTCCCTGTCATCCATGGGACAGGAGGGGACAGCTCTGTCACCTCTGGCCCCTCACCCCACCTGTGCCAATGTTGCTTTACAGTGACCTTCATCTGTCTGAATGAGAATCAGCAGATCAGCGTTACTTTACAGATGTACAAACAGCTACAGTATTGTGAACATCACTCAATAAATATGAACGTGCTGTTGGCTCTCAGTATTCCCATGCTTTTCCATGCCCTCCTTGCATGCTCTGATCCAGGAGGGATATTGTGACTACACTGAGTACAGAGATTGAGTTCTGCTGGTAGCAGCAGATCCCAGGTGTTACCCTAAAACTTCTTTGAGGGGACAGGGATCAGTGTCTTTTTTCCTCACATAAAGTTCTATGAACTAGAAATACATTTTCAGGATGAAGAAGAGTTAACAAGGTAAAATCTTGCCACAGACCTTGTTTTCCAGGCTGTTTGTGTGTTTCCTCACACATCAGGGTAAGTATGATAAAGACCTGTAGCTGCTCTTAAACTGTGTGGCTTCTTTAAAATTAATTACACCAAACAATTCCTGATTTACCAGTAAGTAAAATTTAGCTTAAGCTTTTTCCCCAATACTTCTGGTTTCCTCCTCTCTAATGAAATATTACACTGCAGTGTGGCCTCTTGTAAAGGCTGCAGAAACTTGAAAGTCCCTCATACTTGGTTATCAGGCTATTGCTACCTGGTCATTTAAAGTGCTGGAGAGGTGATTCCTTTATCATACTGAGACACCACAAACATCATCAACACAGCTAAAGGCCTGTTAGTTTGGCTGTAGAAAATAGTGCACTCATGCAACTAACTTGTCTTAAACAGTCTTTGTCTCTGTTCAAGAGTTGTAACTTTAAAGATTTTTCTCAGAAGGAAAACTCAGCTTATTTTAAATAGCTGTAGTTGAAATTTCAGGCCTGCACTGTTTTGTGCACAGCTCTGCTTTAGGAGCTTACAGCTCAGCAGCTGGGGGGGAGGAGAGACAGAGCATTAAAAAAATCATCAGGAGAAAGAACTGTATGTATTTAAAGTAACTGTAAAGCAAGCCAGGTAAGCAGTCCAAAATTACCAGTATCTCTGCAATCTCATTAAGGAGAATTTGACTGTAGCATTTCCCAGAAACGACCTTTGATAAGATAATTGCTAATATTAACATTTCCTATCCTGAGTAACATTTCAATACAAGCTGGTTTAAATAAAACCAGAATTCAACTGACATCAATTCTAAATGCCAAAATCCTGTAAGTCAGGCCCATGCCAGGAGTTAGCCTTCTGTGGGTGAGCAGCACTAGAGGAAACAAATCACTTGTGCTAGTTTTTGTCATCAGCACTGTATTTTATTCTGTGGTTTTGGTATGTGAGTGACAAAAAGAATTAAAGCCAAGACATCTTCTAGGTCCATGAAGTTCCCAATACAATTGAACCCTGTAATAGCACCAGCAGGTTCAACAGAACTTCCTTAAATTCTTGCAGCCCTAACTACCCTGCAAGAGGAAACTGTAATGCTGCAAAATAGCATTAAAGTTATGCACAGAAATTTAGCTTTAAACCAGGGCCATTAAAAAACATGATGATCAAGTACTTTGGATGTTACAGATAATTTCTTTGGTTTAATTCCTTATTTTCTTCTCTCTACCAATAGCATGATATCAGCAATTTCTGTTGAATCAGTGCAAGAGGAAAACACTAACTGTATTGGTTTCACCCTTACAATGTACCTGAATGTACTGTGCATTTTACTTCTTCACCAAAAATTTGGTGATATCACAGGCATGCTTTGTAGCTAAAGACTTTCTCTTCAGCTGGCTTCTTTCCTTGGCCTGTTTTGCAGTTCTCTGCAAAAGAGAGAGACAGGTTGGTTCAGTGAGTATTGATACCTGGAAACATGTCCAGCAGAAAGCATTAGCTCACAGTTAAATTCCAGTCTGTCTTTGCAGTAGACAGCATGATGAAATGCAAATGTTTATTATTATTTTCCCAAATCCAGAGGAAACTGTCATACTGTAATAGTTTAATGCTGCCTTTCCACCCTTGGCTGTATGGGAGGGAGAGGCTGTGAGCACTGGGGTTGTGCAGCAGGGCTGAGGAGGAGCCCAAGTGCAGTTTGCCCTGCTGTTCCCTGGGAGAGGGCCAGCATTCCTGCTGCACACACTGACCTCCCTGTGGCAGGCTGTGCACAGGGTCTGAAGGTTCTCCAGGGAGCACTGTCCTCCTCCGCTGTACACGGGCTGGATGTGATCCACCTGCCAGAACTGCCCCTCCGCCGGGCTCCTGATCATCTCATTCAGCTGCAGCACAAAAGCACATGCCAGGGGTGAGACACTCCTCAGCTACATGGACATGCTGCTGTAGGAACAGCGAAATTCTGGGAAGTAGCTACAGTCCTCATCAAGATAAAGAAAGCCAGCCTTGCCATTTTTTAGTTACTCCCACTAGGCAGGCAAGAGCTCTAAGTAGTTGGCACGTTTTCAGCCAGCCCTGGCTGTACATGCACCTCCCTACAGAACCAGAGCTCTGATGCCTTTTAGAGATGTTAGAAGACAACAGGATTTAGTTAATTTAATTGTTTTTAAGGACTTGATTTTCTTGTTCTGTTGTTGGTGCTAGGTTACCTTTCTATCTTAAATCTGTAAGAACATTTTTGGCTCTCTCTGAACTCTATACCCAGAGCAGCTGTTCCTGCTGAAACCCCAGAACCATCACCTGCCCAAGGGGAAGGTGAGACATCCAAGAGCTCTCCAGAAGCTGCTTCCTCTGGCTCCTGGGTGCATCCCTGACGCTGAGGAAAAGCTGCTGGGCGTTGTTGTGGCAGGCCTGGCACACGCCGTGCTCGATGAGGAACACGCTGGAGCGCAGGTAGGCCTGGCTGGAGCGGATGCAGAAATGCTCCTGGCAGGCGCGGCAGCAGAAGCGCGTGTCCCAGGCCGGGCCGCCCGGGGGCGCTGCTGTTGGCTGCTGGCAGCTCAGGCACAGCGGGGTCCCCTGCTCGTCCAGCGCCTGCAGGTACCCCCGGCACAGGGAGGGGCCCCCGGCATCGGTCTGCCCTGCAGGGAGGGCTGAGGGAGCACTGCCAGCTTCCGGAACCTGTCTGATGGCAGAGAAAAAAGTACAGCTCTGCATAAGTGATGTACTCAGCAGCGAGTTCATGGGGGGTTTATACACTGTGTATTTCAATTAGATACCTTTATGTTCTGAAAAATCATTTTAGCTGAAATAATACCTTGCTCAGATTGATACCTGCACAGTGCAGATCCTTTACTTGGTTTACATTTCTATTTGAACAAAATTTGGCAATATAACAAGGCAATTCTTCTTCTGCACATCTTACTACACTCAGTTATTAGCTGAAATAATGCTGTATTTATAAAGACACGGTGATTTCTATCAGGCATGTACACATACAAACACATCCTGGCTTCTCTTTACAATCTCCATGGCTGCCTATGAATTTCCTACTCAAAACAAAGTAGGACACACAGTGCTTGTTTAAAAAAGTTTTTTTAAAAGGGCAATTCCTGTTTGGAATTTTCACTTCTTTGTTCCATTTTTTTTTAAATTCGGAGGGAATAGGAGCAGATTTGGTGTCCTCAATTTGATGTTGACCTCACAGGAGGGCTGAGCTACCATTCTTTTGTCTAACTAAATCACATAACTATTCTCTTGTTTTATATTAGTCAGACTTAGTTAATTAGCAGCTCTGTCAGCAGACAACAGATGAAATCTAAATTGTTAGAAGAATAAAATAGAGCTCATTAGCACTACAGCAAGTTTCTTATCTAACTACTGTACTTCAGCAAAGCAGACAGAGCAAATAAAAAAAAATGTGGCAAAAGAAGTTAATCATGCTATTGCATTAACAAACCTACTTTGTGGGTGGTTTAGGAGCAGCACCTTTGTCCATTTCTCTGGAGATGAGGCGAACGCTGCCCCCGCTGCTGCTGGCCTTGGACAGCGAGGCTGCTGCCACGTCCTCCCTGGTCACATACCTGAGAGTGACAGATCCTGTCAGCACAGGGAGCAACCTCCCCCCAGGAACAGCACTCTGGGCTGCAGCAACACTGGTACAGCACATTCTCTTCAAATATTCCTCATTTTCCAGATGAGAAATGAGGAAAGTTTGGGAAAATGTGCTTTATATACTTCCATATTAAATACCTTTTTCTAAAAGTGAATTCTAACCAGTGAACAGGTAATTTGGTTTGTGTATAACAATTAAAAAATGACTGCAATTTGATTTGAAAGGCATTTTGTTTCAGTTAGGTGATGCCTCAGTGACACTGGATAAGCTCTGGAGGACTCCTTGCTCCATTAGTTATGTTTGATCTCCCTGCTTTATTTTCCTGTGAAACCCTGTAAAACACAACTGCTCTTAGTTAAAAACTTAAAATTGCTTCACAGAAACCACTATTCAGACAACTGAACATCTGCCAAACCCTACACCCACCCTACAAGGCTGCTGTAGGTCCTGGTAGGTTTTCTAACACCATTCACAGATTCTTCCTGTACTTCATGGAAGGACACAATCAGACAAGGGGTTAGCAAACACTTATTACCCTCTGCTTCTGATACTACTGGAATTGCAAGCTATTTATTTGCTTCATTCTTACCTACTGCCAAAATAGAGTCACCCTGTGGAATTTAACAGTAGGGATTGAAGGGAATAAGAAGGTTTTAGATGGTTTGCATGACAGGTTCTGTGCAGTGACAACAGTGAGGCTACAAATGTCTGTCAGGGAAAGCCACATCAGAGAAGAAAGGGAATCAAAGGTACATTTTGGTTTTCACAAGGATCAAACACCAGCCCTTTTCAGTGACACTCAGCATCAAATTTTGACAAATGTCATCCACAGAGAAGAGAACTGCTTAAAGAAAAAAAAAATTGAAAGGGTTTGAGTTGGCTGTGAATTATGAAGAAAACATTTTCTCACTGATGGCAAGTAATGATTTATTTCTGCTTCCAGGTGGGGAGAACAAGATGCTTTGACCTTACTTTTCTGTTGTGGTCCTGAAGTCAGGGTTTTTCCTTTAAAAACACCTGGCAAGTTCCAGATGTTGAAACATGCAGTGCAGCAGAGCCAGAGCAGCTGCTGAACAGGGCACAGAGCTGGGCAGGGAAGGAGACACTTGCAGCAGATTCACCAACATGCCTGCCTACCTGTCACTGTGACAAGCATCACTGAATGTCCAGTTCAGACCTAGCAGCATTCCACTGAAGGCCACATTAAATAAATTCAACTTTCTGCAGTAATTAGTAGGAGGAATTAAAATCAAGCCCCACGTACCTCTTTGTGCTGCCGCCCACTGACTGCTTTTTACACAGCTCCTCTGCAGCATGAATGGGACTGCAGAATATCTGACCACTTTTTCTGACAATCCTCTGTTTCATTGCTGTTAGATGAGTCCATTCTTTCACAAACCTCAGGATCTGGCAGAGAACATGACAGTCAGCAGCAGGACAGGCTTTGCCACAGATTAATGCATTCTAGCCTGGCTGGAAACAGCTGCTACAACCAGAGATGGTGCCTCAAGTAACTTCACACCCCCCATCTATGGAACCCTTCAGTTGCTGCTTCACACAACAGCTGGTTCAATCAGTCAGGTATCCCCCCCTACACATTTAAATTCCAACCTTGCTGGAGAACTTACAGAAAGAATCAGTTTTATTCCTACATGATGGTTTTCTGTTTGGAAAATCAGATTTTAAGTTAAGCAGAAAATATTTCCCATCCAGTTTAAATCTGGATTTTCTTACTTGAGTACTTGTGTTTGCAGTGTCCTTCTCAAATCCCATTATGAATGAACAGAATATCTGTGGAGCTGTGCCTGACAGTGTTTGAAAACTGTTAGCAGACCAAAGGGACAGTGAGAGTGGAGGCCTGCTCAGGCCTGCAGCTCTGATACATCTAGAACATTCTTATTTAGAGTGTGCTCCATTTAATTCTGAACCTTTAAGAAGTTATTTTGTTGACTTATGAAAGTTAGTAACTAATCCTGTAAATGAGAAATGAAATGATGCCTGGTTAATTCCTTCTACTGCAATGTGAACAGGAGGCACAATAATTTGCCAGAGTAACAGACTCCATAATTAATATTCACAGCAACATCTGTAAGATTGCTTTGATGAAACTGTGCCTATATCCCAAGGCCTGGCAGTATTCTGCATTTATTTTTGTAAAAGTAAGTAATCTTCTTCTGCATTAAATATTATATTGCTATGCCAGCAGAACTTGTTCTTACCAATGCACGATTCTTTTTGTTCTGGAAAGCCTCTGGTAAATCTTCCCAGTTATCCAGCTGTATGTCCAGTGGAATGAAATTATGATTCAGTGGTTCACCATCCTGGACAAACAAACAGTTTTGTTTACAGATGCAATGTAGCACAATGTAGAGAAGTAATCTGTTTCAAGTGAATTTTCCACCCTTCCTACTAAATTTAGTCCCTCAAGGTCAAATTTTTCCAGAATTAACAATAAGGCACAGAGATAACAGCAAAAATGCAAGGAAGATTATTCATATTAATCTACCTAAAAGTAACAAGGCTGAACATTTTAACTTTTAATAGATCTGATTTCTTCCTTGCAGATAGTTCAGACACACAAACTGCCTTATATTAAACTGAAATTACAATCCTCCTGACTGAATTCTAAGGGAAATGAATGATTGGAGATAGGAGAATGTCACTTCATTAAAATTTAAAATAAGAATTCTTGAACACTGTTTATCATACTTCTTTTTAATGTCTGAAGAAGTTCTCCACTTGATTTATAAAGGAATAAGTTGTCCAGTGGGTACATCTAGCCAAGGAACTTATTGATGCCAAGGAACTTATGCACAAGCATTTGAGAGGAGAAGCAGAATTCCCTGGGGTGTCACCATTCAGCAGGTTTTGTGCAGTGTGTGGCACCATGAATCTCTAATCCCAGCAGAACCCAAAGCAGACAATTGCCCAAAACCCACCCAAAATGCATCTTTGTCTGAATAAACATGTGAAGCTAGGCAGCAGCATTCACATTAGGTACACATAACAAATTTGCAGACACAAGAGGACTTTTGGACTCTTTTTGACTTTTCCCAGCTGCACCAGCCTCACAGAAATGTCTTATCTCAAAGGCTTGCCCTCAGTTATCTGTGCTGCTTCAGTGGCACCTGCACACACTGACTCACCCAGTGAATTGGAAGAAATCTTCCCACTGAACTTTCCTATCACTTGAAAGAAGAAATTGGCAAGTCCTGACCTCCCCTTGAATAGTGACCTGGAAGATTCCCAGCTGCTGCTTTCTGTCCCCAATTAATTCATAATAATGGGCTTTATTCAGGAAATTACTAACTTACACATAGCACCAATGCTGAGCTTTCCGAAGATTGGTGGCAATGTTTTATTTACTTAGTGTGTCAGGTTTAGTGTAATTTTTTATTTTAATTTTGAATGTTATTCTATTCAAGTTATTTTGTGATAAAATACTAATAATAAAAAAGGAATTTTAAACAACTGTCACTGGAATTTCTATTCCAGGTGATTTAACACATTAGCCCAATTCAGTAAACCAAGAGAAGTGTTGGGAGTTATGTATCTAAGGAATTATTGCTTAATTCCATTAAGAAAAAGAACTAGAATGATAAACTACCTAATTTTTGAACATTTCAGTTAATACAAAAATATTAATGCTTTTACAGCAAACATAACAAAGGAGAGCATACAGAAACACTTCATAGAGCAACATTCTCCTCTGCAATTTTAAATAACAATAATCTTGCATATTTCAGTTTTACCTTTGTATAGAGGTGGATTCTGTCAGTATTCCTGCTTGCACAGAACATAAGCCCATCATATACTTGGAATCTGTCTGATTTATCTACAACAGAAAAAATGTTGGCATTAAAGATCTTTATTCATTAATTCCACTCTGACATTAAAAATAATATTTAATATTTATCTAATTCCAGAACAATGTAAGGTGCAGAGCTCAAACAGCAAATTCTGAAGGTATCTGTGTATTTTATTTTTCTGTTTCTCCTGGATGACCCATCATCTGTTTGCCTGTGTCTGTCCTGAGTTCCAGTACAACCATCCACACTGCCAGCTGAAGTCAGTCAGCTCTGGTTTGCTCCAGGAGCTGTGTGGAAAGGCTGGGCTTATCCAGCATCCAAATTCAACAGATGGCCCAGGCCAGAATGAGAAAGTCCCATGCTGGTGTTTGTATTTCTGTGTTTCAGAGGTGTAGATTTTTATTTAAAAGCTATTCTTCATGCCAGAGGCATTTAATCCAGTTTCACAATGGGACAGAACTGTTCTTTCAGAGTCCCACTTTACCTTCTCCACATTCTTTTTCACTTTCTTCCTTTTCAGTGCCAACAGTTTCCTGTTCTCTGATTTCCAGAGATTTGTGGGTCCCCAGTTCCTCCAGATTTCCTCTTCTGCCCTCAGCACTGCCCTCTGCTCTCTCTCCATCTCTCCTGGGCTCCTCTTCCTCAGTCTGGCTCCTGGGAGCTTCACCATTTCTCTCACCTAAAGACAAAGAAAGAAGCAAAGCTGTGATTTTTGTTACCTGGCAGGTACCCAATACCACACCCGAGACAGGAACACATCTATGAAATACAAAGAAATGGCACTGCATTCTCTAATATTATTATGCTGCAACCACAGGAAGTTAGAGCTAGCTTTAATGGTAGGAGAACAAACACATGGAACAAAGCTTTTAATTTTTGTAATCCTGACTGCCCAGATTAATGTAAAAATATATATGAAATAAACAATGCAGTTAGCAATTCTATATTATATACAGTTACTGTACACCATAAACACACAAAGTAGTTTCCCAAGGCATTGATTTATAGCTGTGAAACTCAGAAGTTTCTTGTCCTTATTTGAACAAGTCCAGAGATTTAAACAAATGAAAAAGGAAGCAAAAAGAACCTTACCCGTGGCTTTGCAACTGAAATGACAAATACTGGCATATATGTACAAAAACGGTTTCATTAATTTTCCAGATAGCTTAAATAAATTTAGTAAAACAAATCTACTGTGAGCTGGTGGAGAAAGAGAAGCCATATTTTCTGGATAATGTCTCTCATGACAAATACACAATGCTCAAGTTAATAAAACTCCACCACCCCACTGCTTAGTTTTGAAAGGTGAAGAAAAGTATTGCTGTTTAATTGTATTCAGAATAACCATAAACCTCAAGGAAGATGAGAGGGGCATTTGCTGCAAACAAAACAAAGGATAAATTCTTCCTTATGGAATTTATAACCTGTTAACATTTTATGGGTATTTTTCACTTGTTTCAAGTTAGACTCACATAAAAGATCCCTGGGGAAAGCAAGACTAAGGAGTATCATATTTTCCTGGACTTCTGTGTAGCCACAGGTTTAAAGAAATTGTATTTATTGAGCCTGATCACAACTGAAATGCAAACTGCACCTTTCCCTCTGCAGCACCTCCTACTCACCTGTCGCTGAAGGACACGAGAGAACACAAGCACACCACCACTCAAGGTGAAGGGAAAAAAGGGAAGTTTTATTCTCTGACTCCAATATTTATAGTTTTACAAAAGTGACANGTGACATTGACACCTCTGCAATGACACTGGTCAAACCAACAGTCCATCAACTCTCTCCTCCTCCATAAAGGAATGAAAAACAATGAGTTATTTACAGAAAGTGTGTGAGAAAATTCACTACAAGAATGTCAACATCAGAAGGCTTAGAAAATCTTAAAAAACCAGGGTGACACTCACCATCCCTGCTCTGGGGGCAATGGCACATCTCACAGTAAGGCAGCAGAGCACTGTTAGTGTAAGTGCAGGCACTGCAGTGCCAAACCTCATCTAAATCTGGACTTTCACTTGAAGAGTTTTTTTCTGGAAACAAAGAAGGCTTTTTTCCATTCAGAGGTGTTTTCTTTTTATTACTGGAGCTGACTGGGGTTGATCCACTTATGCTCTTTGCTCTTTTGGCTTCATGTTCACAAGTATCTTCATCACAAACTGCCTGCACCTCGCTTATCCTTGTGGAATCCAGATTCTCATTGCTCTTCTCTGCACCCTCTTCTTTTGTGCCTGCAGAAGGTTCTGAATCATTGCATAACAATTCATCACCAGAAAATCTTTTGTGTTTCTTCTCCGTGGAGGATTTGGGGGAAAAGAAGGAGCGGATGTCGTGCTGTCTGTCCTTTTCAAACTGGGGAGAGGAAAGGAATAGGAATCACAGATTCATTTAGGTTGGAAAAGACCTCTAAACCCCACTTGTGACTGCAACAGAAACTGTTAAACAAAAGATATCTGTAACAAAAGATAACTTCAAGAACAAACAGTGAGCTGAAAAGGCAATTCAACATTCTTCTCCTGATTCCAGAAATGTATTTTCAGTATTCTCCTGGAAATTCTGAAAGGGCACTACCAGAAAACAGATACACAGAACTGATAAGCTGTGTGCTTTTTATGAAGATGTTCATTACAAGGAAAGGTTTTCAAACACTGTTTTAAGTATTAGTCCAATTAATTCAGCACAGTTAGCAAAGATGTGATTTGAACAGAAATTACTTGGTCTTATCTGACTCTGAGGGTGGCTCAGTCACCTAAACATGACATAAGGACCCATCATTAGATGTAGATGACATTTATTCCCCATAGAGCACTTTTCCCAACTTCACCTAAGTTTTTAAATGGAATTTACATTACTTTTGTCTATTTTTTTGATGTTTCTCCATTAGTAATGTCTGAAGTGCACAGAAAGCTGAAGCAAATGGCTGTTACAATTTTTTTAAAATTAAAGGAAACAGGAAAAACAAAGTTTCAAGTCTTACATGCGTAAATAAAAGTTCATTTTGGGGATCTTCTAGATTTTCATTTGGGGTCCAGGTTTCAGCAAAACTCAAAAAATCCCATTTTTCCTTATCCCCTTCTTCAGCCTGCATTTTCTCTTTCTTGCCATTCAAGGTGCTGCCTGTGACTTTGGCCTGCAGGAACACAATAATGGTAACTGCTGAATTTAGCACACTGCAACCAGTGAAGCTGTACACAAAATTTATTTTATTATACAAGATAAAAGAGAATTTATACCCTCTAACAGCCTTAACATGTTTTGCTTGGCATGTGGAGACAAATAGAGGCAGAATTATTTAGTGACAGAACTTGTAAGGTAAATTGATGTTGCATTGCTGAGCCCATCTCAGGAGGAGGAGATTGATAATGCACCAGGCAGGATGAGCTTTAAGGACCTTTCCAACCTAAACCCTAACAACAATTGGGTGATACTTGTGGAAAATGGCAACCAAAGAAAAGATTAGTGTAATCTTGGATCTACTGAAAAAGAATTATCTGAGAATGCCTCGTCCTCTCAGAAAGGAAGCTTAGTTTAGGCATAACATTCATTCAATTAAAATAAAACAATCCACAACAAATTCTAGTTGATATGAGTGAGCAGAATGCCTGAATGCCTGAAAATTATAGACTGAGAAACAACAGCAATAAAGAGCTAGAAGATAAAACAACCATCTCCTGTGGATATCAACCATCCCATTCCCCTTGGCAAAGACTCGTTATCTTTGCATTCTGAATGAAGAGCGAAAAGCTAGAAGAGACTAAATCAGGACAAACACAGACATTTTGATGATCAGCCAGTGCAGGTGTATCACTATCTCAGAGTGTCCCAGACAAACAAGACTGTTGTGGCACTGGAGTGCAGCCCCAGCCCAGCAAGCTCTGCCCCCTTGGCCCCATGGCACTGTGTGCTTTATACAAACATCCTGCTTATGACATAAAACTGATTAAAGACATTGAATGCTTTTTATACTCTGCCTTGTAAGCCACAGAAGAACACCAGTGTCGCTAAAAAAGATCTCAGATTGTTTTCCAAGCACACGCACCTTGCGGTTGAGCATGGCCCACATGAAGGTGTCCATGGTTCCCTTGGCAATCAGGAAGTGAATGTTCACTGAGCTGCACTGCCCAATGCGGTGTGCTCTGTCTTCTGCCTGCTTAATGTGCCCTGGATCCCAGTACAATTCAGCAAACACAACGTGACTGGCAGCAGTGAATGTTAAACCCTAAGCAGAATAAGTAAATGCACTCTTTAAAAAAAAGATACCACACACAAAAACTGATTATCTTTAGCTTTAACAAGCTACAGGTTGTACAGCACATCTTTGTATGGAAATAAGAGGTGGTCCTCAACAGCAGATGGGTTTATTTTACTGATTCCTCCTTGTGACTCAGATTCAAAAAATATTTCAATATTGTGCAAAGACTGCACGTTGCTTTTCATTATGGAATAACATCAATTTCTTATTCATCTAGTGCTTTTAGAGAAACAGAGTTCTTCTAATTATTCAAGAATGAGATACTGCTGCTTATCATCATTTAGCTCAAACAAATTCAATAGAGGCTTAGAACAGTTAACATGATATGTGCAAAGAAATGAACACAGGGTCTACAAAGGACAAATTGCACAAAGATAAACTGCCTTCAGTAAACCACTTCAGTCATCAATGATTTCAGTAGGATATTCTTCAAGTGTATTAGTTCTCATATTTTCTGCTCTGCCCTACCTGACCGGCTGCCTGAATACTCAAAATAGCAACGCGGGTCTGGGGGTCCTTCTGGAACTGATGGACGAGGTGGATCCTCTCTGCAGAGGGAACACTCCCATCGATGCGGATGTAGCGAGCCTGTGACATCACAACAGACACTAAATGACATCATCAGTGCCTGTTTCAGAGCCAATCCCTCCCTGTCCCCCAGTAAAAACAGGAAAAGGACTGTACTATTCCTGTCACAGGGATCAGGATACACTGGCACTCTTTTGCCCTTTGATTTGAAATTAACTCTCTCTCTAGAGAAATGAAGACTTTGTATTCTCTGTTTGCAAAAGTAGAAGATACAATGAACATGGGATCTTAAAATGGAATATTTCACAGACTTACCCTGACACCATTTTTTAAAAATTCCAAACAGTTAAAAAGAATAAAAACACAAAATAACAAAGTCAGCCACCATTCCCAAGCAATAGTTAAGAGTCCATGATCAAAATAAGGTGAAAGCTGTTTGCAAACATTTCTACTGCTTTGAATTAAACATTCAGGTGAGATGACAGTGTGTAGTTAAAACCCTCAAAAATAGACCGAAGGAAACGGAAAAATCTAGAAAACAATTGCCTATAGCATTGATTTAATAATAATAATTAATAATAATAATAATAAAGTTGTACCAGATACAAGTGTATTTACATCATCCTGAAACACAAAGCAGTTCTTCAGAACCACATGATCCCTTTTTATCCAGTGGCACTGATCTAAAGTCCTTCCACTGCTGCACTCGTGTGCAGTTCTGCTGAATTCAAGCCCAGCCATGTGTGCAAGTGCAGGTGAATTTGTGTGCACATTTGTGAAGGCTTTACCTTGCTCTCTATCACTGCCTCTGTGCAGGCCTGCAGCATGCTCAGGTGATGGGCAAAGACCAGGAACTTCAGTTTGTCATTTTCAAGCATCATTTTGATGTAGTCCTTGACTGCTCCTGCCTGCAGTGTTATCATTAGTGAGCACACAAAAAGTACAAAAAGACATTTTTTATTTTCACATCTTTCAATTCCTTGTAACATGAAAAGGTAAATTTCCGTATCTTTTGTTATCTTTGTAACACTTTATCAAACACTGACATTGCTAAGAAACAAATAATTCAGATTGATTTTGTTTTAAAAAAATATCACAACTTGATGTCTTTGAGAAACCTTACTCCTTCAGAGACAGAAAAAACACACATTTATCCTCAAAAGATTATATAATTACACGGCACTTCTTCCACATTAAGATGTAGATAAACACCCTTTTAATTCAGACATCATTATCTGATGTTTTAATCCATATTTGAGAAAAACAAACATATTTCAAATAGACAAGATAATATTTAATCAGAACTTCTGTATCCACACACACAAAGCCATATATCAAAACTGAAAGAATAAATCTGATATGTTCACGATACCATAATCATAAAATATTGCTCTCTTTAAGCATTCATAGAACTCTTTTGTGTCAAATGTAATTTTCAGTATCTTTTGCAAAAGCCATTAAAGCAATGATGACAGTTAATAACAAAATTTATCAGTGATCATCAGTTAATGCAATACACATTGCACTGCTCTTCAGATTTCTTTTTTCATTGTAATGGGGTTCTGCCTATTCCATTCTTATTCCATACAGGGAAAAAGAGAGTGTTTCTCCATGTCATGATTATAAAACAAACCAAATAACCTCATCTCGTATTCTGGCCAATAAAACCAATTTTATGAGGTTAAAAACACACAAACACACACTGGATAATTTAGGGATGTTAAGGAAAGACTTGCAGCTCACCTTGGCAATGGCTGTTTCCTTATACATGCGTGTGATCAGACTCATGACTTCAGAAAAGTTGCTTTCAGTGGCATCTGACCTCAGACTTCTCATTAATTTCTCCCACTCTGCAAAAGTGGCATTCAGACTCTAATTGGCAGGAGAGACCAGTGGTTAGACACAGAGTACAAAGTACAGGCTTGTTTTAAGTGTGAAGTGTTTAGGAATTTTGGAGAACTCTATCAAATTGGTTAAAAGTAAATGTGGGATTCAAAATCTATGGGAAAAGAAGACAGAAAAGAAGATTGTACTAGAATTAGAAAAAAAAATTATCATTTTATCAAATGATATATATATAATTATCAATGATATATTTTTAATTATCAGATTATCAGTATTAGTGTTCTTTGTGTTATATTTTAAAACAGTAACAGAGATACTCTGCTTTATACTCACACAATCTTTATAACTACATATAGTACACATGCATACATAAAAATACATATCCATACATAGATATTTCCATTTATTAACAAATGTATTTGTAACAAAAGTGGAAATTTTACCTTTGCTGCAGCTTGTGGGAGGTCAAATGGAATACGCTGCCTGACTTTGGGAGGCAGCTGAGTTAGGACATCATTCTTCAATCTTCTGATCATTATTTCACTTAAAAGTTGATGTAGTTCCTCTAAGTTTGAAGCTCCTCTACAATCCCATTGCCTTCTTTTACCAAAAAACCTGGAAATGATAAATCAATACAGAGTGGAAACATGAGATCTTCCAAATTCAATAGAATTCTTCAGTACATCATCAATTTTAAAGCACACTGTTGGATATTAAAGTGTGCTTCAACTTCTCAGCAGCCACCACTGCCTGCAGGAGTCACTGCCCATCACCTGCCCACCACCCTCTGTCTGTTCCCAGCTTCCCACACTTCACTGTCCACAGGAAACAGAAGGTTCAGGTTTCATTTTGGAACTCCTGTTTCAATGGACTAATGAGAAGAATACACCACCATGAGAATAACCTTTATTGTATTACAGACAGGAAAGCCATCATGAAAACTGCAAATATCACCATTAATATTCCTTTTTTTCCCTCCCTAGGAATTCCTTCTTAGTTACTGTCAGAGACAGGATTTAAAGCTTAAGCTCTCATCTTTAAAAGTTCAATAGAGGAAGAAGATCTAACATTAGGAATTTAAAGGCTGAAAAGAGAACAAATTTATTAACTCAATCTTCCTTATTCTTTCTTTGCTTTGCTGTTTTTGAGGAAGTGTTGCAGCAGGAACAACATCTTTTCTCTGTCAGCATCACCAGGAGACAATAAAATAATGAACATGACAGATTTGGACAAAAGCCCAGGTAGCATTTTCCAGAGCTAGAAGAGTGTGTTAAAAGCATGTAATTTTAATAAGAAGACAAACAAACAGCCACAAACCCCCCCCCAATAATTTAGAGATTTTCAAGCCTTATTAACTTTACCAACAGCATTCTAATTAGCTGAATTAGCTGAATAGAATCATTTGGGAAAGGGGCTGAGGGAGTCACTTCTGCACTGAAGTGGCAATGGCACAGATGGAGACAGCAGCATCTTTTGCTCATATCCCTTCCTTGCTCTATTTATATATCTGTCCTTATAAAGGTTTCCTTCCTCCACCCTCAGCATCAGGGATAAGACAGAAATGGCAGGCTAAACCTCACAGAAATAGTTTGGAGTTCATCTTTAAAACAGGTGTCTATGGATACCTAAGGAAAAACCACCCAAATTTTCACAGGAAGTGTTGCATAAAATAATCCTATCAAGTTTATTACCACAGGATGTTTTGTTCAGGCCAAGTCATGAAGAAAAAGTTATTCACTGAAAGCTTGCCAAACCCTGAACTTGATTTTTATTACATTTATGGTATTCCAAAAATAAGATAATCATCTATGATTGAGTAGCTAACCATGCTGTACCCACGCACACTTGTGGTGTGAAAATTACAGATGCATTCAGTCAAAACACTGTGGAAAAAATAGCATTTCTCTGTCTGAAAATTAGACAGTGATCTTCCATGTTATTTGAAGTTAAATACTGATAAAGTGCATATGATGAAGGGAGGAAAACAAGTTTTAGGAAAATGAAACCATGTAATTATTATTGTAAAAATTAAATCTAAATGCTAGCCAATTTAGCTGACAAAAATCTGTTATTCTGAATACATGCAAAGTTGTAGATATGAAATTTTTAGCTGAGACAGTCAGCCTGTGAAATATAGAGACAAGTACTGGACTTTCTTCCCCACCCAAATGTGGTGAGGTCACAAAGAACCTGGATCCCATAATAAAGAGAGATATAAATTATTACATGACCATGAGCTTAAGACTGAGAGTCAAAAACTCTAGTTCTGAAGGTAAAACCTCCACAGCTCCTATTAACAGTAAATGTATAAACAATTTTACTTAACAGAATGCTTCAACTTTATTTCAAACTTTAACAGCATTAATTAATTAATGTCATCAGTGTCCTCCTTTTCCCAATGCTCTTTGATGGAGGAGATGGTTGCTGATCCTGGGTTTCAAAGCAAGATGGTGTGATAGAGCAGCAGAGGTGCCACCTACTGATTCTCTCACTTGGCATGACAAGAAAAATCAAAGATGCTTCTAAAAATGTAAATAAGAATGTAAATAAGCAAGGGCAGTAATACCTGACACGAGCATCACAGTATTTTTTAGCATATTCATTCCAAGTTCCAAACCTTCCTGGAAACAGTGCCTCAATCTGCATGAAGAGCTGTATAAAAAATAAAACAGCAACAGTGAAAAATGTAAAATTGCCTGTGAATGGAAGACTAATCAGAAATAATCAATGCATGGTTCTTGTGCTAAGTTGACATGTAATATTTGCACAAAACCCACACAGCCTGGCCTGCATGCAAAAGAAATTCCACAGGATTGGAGGCTTCAGAGAGGACAGTTGTGGGAAACCCTGAGAGAACAGAGCACTCAGAGCACTGTAACAGCACTGACAGCCTGGAAAAGATCCCCATTCAACAAGAAAACATGGATGAGATGAAGTTATTCCTTAAATAAAGTTTTCATCATTTGCCAGGTGCATGGGCTTCTGCAAAGCTTCAGTGCAGGTATTGCATGAGTGGCTGCTTCCTCAAATATGTGAAAAACCTACTCAATTCTTAAGTTTTACTTCAAAAAAATGGACAATATCACTGCAGACCAGAAATTCCACTTTTTTTTCCCCTCCTGAAAAGCAGGAGGCAAATACCAGTATAGATGACCTTAACCAGGAGGAATTCTGCTTTACAAGCTGTTACACTGTCAAAGCTTCCTGGCTTCTGAGATAATTTTCTATCCATTTAAAGACTTTATACAAAGATTCTGCTTATGACATAAAACTGATTAAAGACATCTAATGCTTTTTATACTCTGCCTTGTAAGCCACTGAAGAACATCAGTATCACTAAAAATATCTCAAATTGTTTTCCATTTGCTCATGAATTTTGATCCCATTGCTGTGGTCAAGGACAGGTTGCATGGAATTTCCTTTCAAGACCTTTAACAACGATACTGTTCTCAGTATCCATGTACTGGATAAAGGCAGAACACCTTCTAACCTCAGTTCTTCATTCATTCTTCACTGGTTGCAATTGTACAGGAAATTTTAGTAATCATCCACACTCACAAACATAAATATTCATATTAAATTTTTAGCTAAGTACTCATGATATACCAAGCTCTTTTCCATACCACAAATATCTACCTCAAGTTATGAACTCTTTGAACAAATTAAATTCATAAAGGGTCTTGGCATAAGTTCTATTTACACAGTAAGGAATTCTGAAGTATAAAATATTACTTATATAACTCTTTCAAGTTCCCTGAATTCAAATCAGCTCTTATATTCATTTATGTACTTATATACCCATTTTTCCCTTACATTTGAGAAATAATGGCAGCTGTCTTGGGTTCAGTATAAAACCCAAGAGGGTTTTTGTTACCTCTCTGTTCCTTCCCAATTCCATAAGCTGAACTTCCTTCAAAGGAAAATTTGTCATTGTGGATGTGCAACCAGCACAGCCTGTATTTTTTTCCATTGAAGTGAACATTAGGAATATCCAACAGACCACAGACACTAAGGGCTTTCTTTATCAGATGATGAAGTAGAAGATTTATTACAAGATCTTGCCCACCAAAGACTCCTCTACCCAGGAGAAACAAGCAGTTCTCTGCTCAGGCTCTTTATTTTTTATTTCACCCAACAATCAGTCTGTTACATGCAAGATTAATTTCTGACAAGAAACACTGTCTCAATTCACCTGTGCACAAGCTTGAAACAAGTTTGTAAATCAACTCAAACAAAATTGGTTTTGTTTCTTACACTTGTCCTTCCTGATGCAGCCAGTGCAACTTTTCATGTCCTAATGCATGTAATTGAATATATTCAACAAAACTACAGAACTGAACATTTATTACTGATACTATCATTTAAAAAAACAAACAAAACCAAACCTAAAACAAATACATGTCAAATACCTCTTCAGGTCTTCCTAGAGCAGGAGTTCCAGTAAGGAGAACAGCTCTGAGAGCTTTCTGAACAATTGGCAGTAAAATCTTGCTACGGGTGGCATTTCTGGATTTCATGTAGTGAGACTCATCAATCACAACCACCTTAAACTTCTGCCTGTACAAAGTGTCCACCAAGGTCTGTGCATCAGATGTTAACAACCCATACCCCAGGATTGTTACTTTGCTCGTTGATATTCCCCTGAAAGAGAAAAATCCACAAGTTTTTTTAGTAAATTTTTATTGTAGGACAATTCATATAGCAGAGAGATTATAAATAAACTCATCTCAGAAGGGATGTGTGTCTCCTTTTGGAGTGACTGACATGTGGGCTGTCAGGCTAACAACAACAGCTTTTGGTGTTTAAAACATCTCACACTTCTCAACCACACACATTTCATAACCATTTTCAGAGGACACACATTGCATTTCAAAGGAATTTCAGTTATCTGCATGCACTGCTTCACCCTGTGCTCTTTTCCAGGGGCATCCCATTGGAAAAATCCACTTTGTGGACAAAAAGTTACACACAAGCCAAGATCTTAATTAGCACCCAAAGAGCTGAAGTAAAAATGTCTCTGTGCAAGCTTTCCACTGCTCTGGGTACAGAGAGTCCCCTCAGCATTAATCAGACTGTCCCTGAGGATTTGGGCACTGGGAAAGCACAGACTGGGCTGAACCTCAGCACCTGGAAAAACCATTCCTGTCAGAGCTCTTACCCAGCTTGTTTGCTCAAATAGAACAAGAGCAAAACAAAAACATCTGGAAGCAGGGAGTCAACATGGCACAGGATGAAAAAATAGTATTTAATTGAAAATGAATTTTTTGTAACAAATTTCAAGATGTATACAGGTGCAAGGCATGAACTGATATTAAAATCACTAGAGAGCACTGTGGCCCTTCAGGAGCAGCACAGCAACTCACAGATGTTGGACACAATCACCAGGATGGGGTCAGAGCTGGTCCACCCACTGCCCTGCTGGCATCATTTCTGTTTGCTCTTCAGTACAAGAGATCAAGAAACCAAACAAGCTGAAGTTTCCTTGAGGATTTAAGAGGAAGAAAGTAAATGCAGCCACACATTCCTGCTCCTGGGTGTGGAAGTGCAGTGGTTTGAGCACTGGCACTGTGCACTGCAGACTCTGGCTGGCACTGTACAGATAAATGGAGCAACCAGGAAAGCATCAATTTCCCTTACCCTTTCTGAAAGGGACATTAAAAAAAATTACAAATAAACTTATTTATTTTAGTGGAACCAATTTATTCAAGAAACTTCCATTTTTAAATTTGGCCAGAAATTACAAACCTAAACTGATGCCTAAGTTTATTTTAACCTGTTTTAATCAAGAAGTTAACACTCAAGCAGTAAACTTGGAAGTTTTGAAGAAAAGCAAAGTATTAAACTGAGAGAAATCAAAGTTTAACATATGGAAGCAGAATTTAACAAAATGCTAAACCAAATTTGGCAGCTGTGTTTTTGCATTTTCTTATAAATGCATGAAACACTTTCTAATGTTAAAATATTAATTAGTTCAACAGCAACCTCACTTATAGCTAGGAAGCCTCCTGGGAGTTAAATGAGCAGAAACCCAAGTTTTCATCTTTCCTTCTTTTTGAATATAAGTAATAATAGTTAAGGTCTACTCCTTTTAAAAAATCTTAAAAGGAATAGAATTTCATCTGCCATTTAATTGTCCCATCATTTTGCCTAGTCCACATTTCCCCTTTATGCATCCAGCACTATAAGCACTGAGTGCCTTTCAGATAAATACCTTTAAAAGAAAAAGCTAATTTTAGTTTCTTAATTCCTATGATGAATTTAAATTTTGACTATCAGCAGGAATTACCCTTTGATGAAGCTTTCAAAATGCATTTTCAGTTGGATTTCTGTGGTTACCAGGAGGTTCCAAGCAGCACATCTTGGCAGTCAAGTCACTCTCTGATATTCCCAGAAAAGATGAAGATCTGTCTCCCTCACACCAAAATTTTAGAACAACATCTAAATATTAGCATAAAATCAACCAAGTCATTTACAGTAAAGGAGACAAAAACCACCCTTGCAATTCAGGGTAATAGAGAGTTATTCCAACAACACCCAAGCCACAGCCTCTCTGATGAATTCATGCTGTTAAATCTAAAGATAGAAAGCGTAGGGCACGATGACCTTTTCAGTTATTTAGGGATTACTTACTTGAACTTACAAATTTCCTCAGAGTGCTGAATGGAATTCTAACAGTAATTACTTCCTTATTTTGTAATGTACACCAGAAGTTCTCCAAAAATGTTTTACAGAAGCTAATGAATTCATCAGAATTGAGAAATAACTGTGTATGTTCAATTTGAGACACACTGAAGTAATCTAATTTTCAGCAGACAAGCATTTGCTACTTTGCAAAAAGCAGATGCCTCAACTTCAAAGAAAATGAGTAACTATTACAACACAAGAACAGAAAGCTGGGAGGAGTGGCTGATAGCCCAGAGGTGTTCCTGATAGCCCAAGGGGAGCCCTGCTTGAGCAGGGGGTGGTGAGCAAGCCTTTCTAGAGAAGAACAACAAACTACTCACCCAATATCAGTTTTGTTCTGAATGATGGTAATGTCATCTGGAGAGAGCTCTGGAATCCACTTCTCCATCTCATCCACCCAAGGGTATCTCAGGGAGGAAGGCACTACAATTAGGAGAGGCCATTCATGTTTATAGTAATATGAAATGGCAATTGCTTGAATGGTTTTTCCTAGCCCCATCTGGGAAAAGAAAAGAAAAGAACATTAAAACCACAAATCTCTGCTCAGAAAGCATATTCTATTCAGAAGAGCCCAAAAGATTTTGCAAAGACAGAACCAAATAAAGGAAACCCAGTCAAAGAGATACTTATATAGCATGTATTTAATGATCACTTTGTTACCACAGATTGTCTTTTATGAAACAAGATTTTCCTAGTTAAATGTATTAAGACATGTATTATATCATTCAAGTCAGAAGAAGCATTTCCATTAATCTCAGAAGATTTTCAGTTCAGAGTCTTAATAGGAGAGACTAAAAAATTCAAACACTAACTTGTGAAGCTACTAAAAACATTTTTAAAAGACTATGCAAAGGAAAGAAAACTACAGGATGCCTTCTTACAACAACAACAACTTTGTCCTCAGCTGCACAGGCAAGTGAGGAACCTGGGAAGAGCTCTGGGCTTGGCCCAGTGGCTCAACAAAGAGAAACTCCTGCTCTGATTCAGCAGGGCTGATGGTTTGTCCTCAGCCTGCACCACAGGTGGGACAGCCCAGAGAGTGAGAATTCAGATGGACACACATGGGGAGGATTCAAAAGATCTACATTTAACAGGAAAGTACATTCTTCCTATTGCCAAGGTGGGAATGCTCCCATCTGTGAATAATCATGGCAACAGATGTCTGTGAGAGTCAGAATTTAGGGGTTTGGTTAAAAAATATCACACACTTTCCCCCCTCCACAGCAAAATTTTCTCAAAGAATGCAGCTATTTTCTCTGAAACACCAAAGCAGAGATGAGCCTTCAAATGCTCTGGGCAGCTTTTCCATGCAGTCCAGTGGACATCTGAGTGGATTTGCTGCTATCCAGCTACTCACAGCAGTGAGACATAAAACAGCTTCCATCTCCAGTATTGAGTCTTAATGGACTGACTTAAAGATGTAATGAAGAGATTTCCCAAGTACAAAAGAAAACAATGATTTTTTCTACTATTACTAGAAAGAAAATAATAGGAAAGCTACAGTGATACTCAGTTTTCATTCAAAATTGCCAAGTTTTCATTAAAATTTTCCTGCAAGTTTTTCCCTTGTGTCACCAGCAGTTTTTAGGTTATCTGAAAATAACTCCAAGTGAAAAAAAACCAAAAAAAAATAAGACAAATTTTTAGTTTGCTGCCATGGCTGTGCAGGCCCTGGTGATAATCCAGGCACTGGGATGAAATGAATATGGAATAAAAGCAAGGCTTTTGTCATCAGCACACCCAGGGCTGGTGCAGATCCCACAGAGCTGATCAGCAGCTAGGTAACAATGAGAGAGACCAGAAAAACTGGAGAAAATATTATGGGCTTGGGTTTTGATATAAACCCATTTTTCTCCAGCATGGAAATGGATGACACTGAAATTTTAGGGGAAAAATTGTCTGTTCCCACTCTGAGAAGAAACAGAAACATATTTGTAGATCATCTTTCAAAAAATACTGGTTTTATCTCACTTTAATCCTTACACAGTTACACAATCCAGGGATATGTACAGTAATTCTCTGACCCTGAGTTTTCCTCCATAATTTCTCTTTACATACAAGCTCACAGTACTGATATTTAATTTTACCAACATTTTTTGGAGATAGGACAAAAGGCACAGGATACACACCAGTGCACAATATTCCTCCAGTGCACACCTATTGTCATTACAAAATATACAACTTTTATTTTGGAATAAATGTATCTTCCAGGACTTTCTATTGCTAACATAATTATGCACAGCTCATTTTCTAGTTCAAGGCTGGAAATAAACTGTTGTAATAAAAAAATAGCTACTGCTGATATTTTGATTTTTCCCAAGCTTCCCTTTTTCTCTTCCCCTGAATACTTTTGTATTCTCCACAGCTCCCAGATATTTTGCATTCTATGCCAGGATAGTTTATCTCCAGATGTAATGAGATTTTTATAGTATGAGGAGATGCTTAAATCCCAATAATCCATCTCCCTCTCCCTCCTAGTGTGTCAAGAAAACCCAAATTAGAATTGTGAGACTACAGCAATTCTCTTTTTCAGAAAGGTTTTATACTGACAATACTTCAAGAACATTATTACAAAAATATTTTATCTGGGGGAAGAAATGCTGGACTCACATTTCCTTGATAAGGAATACAACATATATTTTTAAATGTATGGATACAATAAATTTTACTATTACTACTTGATGAGAGCACTTTAAAAAATTCATCTTTGGAAACCATATCTGTTAAAAATCTTTTTGGGCCAGGAATGTCTAATAATGCACTAAAAATAGCTCACTATGCAATTATAAAGCACTTAAAAAAAATCAACTGAGTCAGTGTTTTTAAAATGTAACAGTACAGGAGATTTAACCTACAATTAAAAGTAACCTTTTAAGTTTTCTCAAGGATTCTTCTAAACTTATGTCAGGTTCCAATTTTTCCCTCACTTACGTATTTTCAGGATATCTGCTGACTATCACACAAATTAGGATTCTTTTATTACCAGCCTTTCTGCCCACACCTCTCAAACAAAAAAAGTCACATTTGCACCAAGTGCATGAACACCAGAAAAGACAGAGTTAGAGGAACAGGAACATCGCTCACCTCATCAGCAATCATACACCTAAAGAGGAAACAAAAAAGGGGAGGAAAAGCAGAAATTAATACAAAATAGAATACATCAACCAATACTTACAAATTGTTTACTATAAACTAAAATTCTGGATTTACAGAACCAATGAAAGGAAAAAAAGGTGACTTCATTCCTCCAGATATCACCTACAAAAAATGAACTTGGTATGAACTGAAATTAAGTCTAACAATTCTTCTAAATATGTTTATTCAGTTTGCTGGCATTACTGCAGAACTTGCAATTGCAAAACTGAATTTCTGCCTAGGTCCAGGGATAGATTAATTGTAATCATAAGAGACACTTCCAAGTCAAGAAGGGTATCTTCAATTTTCTTTTCTTTCAGAAACAGCAATGTTTTTGCTGCTTCATGTTTAAGGATTATTTGTATTTTAGACTGATTTCAAAAATGTTCTTTCCTGAGCTGTCACATTTGTTTTGAAATAGAAGCAGACACTCCCTCTCCCCCACCAATTGTACCAGCTAAAGTATTAGAAAATGAATTTGATTTTTTGCCCATTTTGGAGTCACTTGGCAAAGCCACTCTGTGTAAAGACAATGACAACTCTGAGTCTCCAGTCATAAATAGTAAATTCTGTTCAGCATATTTACATTTTATAAACATTAAATGCCATTTTTTACATGAACTTCTTAAAGGCATTTTAACCTGGAATTCTGGGATTCCAGATGTATCCTTTGCATTGTGTAACTCAAATACAGCACTCCTTCCAGGAAAAAATGGGAAAGATCTTCCAGGTCTTAGTGTCTTTAACAAAATTTAACACAACAAGATATAAACATTCTGTATTTTGATCCAGAAAAATCTTTCCAAGTAATACAGAACTGCTTTTTTAGTGGTAGCTACTCTGGAGTTAGTGGAGCTGGCCAAAAAAGATAAAATGTTTGATATTTTCAGAACCACAGCATGATGCTGTTTGCTCACTGCCTGCCAGTATAAATTCCAGTGGCTACCAACTTCTGCATTTCATTCAACTGAGGTAAAAAACTGATTTAAATTAAGAATTATACAACTCCATTTTTATAAGCAACAAACTATCTATTTGCAATTGCTTTGCAACTTCCCCTCCCCAGCTGTTAGGGATGGAGCAAAGAAAACATAGGAAGAAAATAAAACAAAACAAAGCCCCCAAGCCTGCACAGATTCACAAAGGAATAAAAAGGCAGGAAGACAATTATTTTTAGTGGCAACTCGTGATTGTGAGACCTTAATGTCTTTGATTTGCAGCTGGCAAAGACATTTATTTGCAGACAACTAACACACAATTCTAATTTTAAAATAATGCCAGTTTTTGCTCAAAGACTTTTTTTTCCATTCAATACTCATTGTTAATTGCTTGAACTGAAGTTTACGAAACAAGCCTTTCTTTTTTGCAGATTCTTTGAGGCCAACTGCTTTCAGTACATTAATCATGTTTTTAAAAAACAGTTTGAGGCCTGAAATCAATTGGAATGCACAATAACCTACTGTTAGAGTAGAATTCCTTACACAAATGCAGCTACAACAAACAGCTACAGAGCACAGACAGCTCAAGAATAAACCACAGACCTTCTTCAGCAATAAAGATTATTTATTGCAGGAATATCAGAGCTGAAGTACAAATATAGCAATAACCAAGCTGCATCTGGTAGCAAGAAAATGTGGTAAAGAGGACAGGAATAAAAGTATTCCTTGCCAAATTCTGCTGCAAATACAGTATTTCTCAGCAAATCAACCTAAATTTTAGTAGAATTGCATAAAGAGTGAAATGTTAATTATGCCAGTTCAGACAAACAGAAAAAGTGAGAACAGGTAAGATCCTGTTGCACTGCTCTTTGGCACAGGTGAACTATTTGGATGCTCCTTCTTCCCTTCAGGATAACAAGGAAAAATGAAGAAATTCAGAGGGATTTACAAATGGCTCTGACAATTAGAAACTGAACAGCAAATAAAAAACTACCCACTTGAAAAGCATGTCAACCACAGAACTCGTTTTCCATAAAGCTAGATTTCTTCATCACAGTGAAATGTAGCCACCCAAACATTGATGACTTTATCTGATGACAAATAAGAAATGGTTCTGCTTTTCTTTTTGCACTCATTTTCAGGCTGTACTCATAAAATCTTTGCTGCTATAGAGTATCTCCTGTTTTCAAGGTCTGTTAACTTCCACTGATTATGTCCTTAAGTTAAATTTCTTATGTAGCAGCAACAAAGTTGATGACTTTCAAATATTTATAGAAACTCATCAATTTGTTGCTGGTAAACGAAGGAAAGTACAAAGTAGCTGCCATCATAATACTAACAATAATAATTTACCCATAATAACTCTGCAAACAGAGGTTACATCAGGTGATCAACAGAATTTTATCTTCCTCATTTCTGCAGCACCAACAGAAACAGAGGCACAGAAACACCCCCATGCTCAAAGCTGGGGATCTCTGGTGACAGATTTACTTTGAGAAATACTCACTCTCTTCTCCTGCCCAATGATGAAATTGCTTTGTCAGAAGTAGCTGGGATTGTCTTCCTGTACTTGCAATCCAGCCAGTTTTCAGCATTTCAGATTTGACCAGACACATCATAGCCTGAGATCAATCAAGTGCACTAAATTGGTTTTAAAGCTCCAGTCAGAGTTACCTGAATGTGTAAAGTCCCCTGTGATTACACAGTTAGTGACATGAATCACTGCTTGGATCCACACTGCTCACACTCAAATTCCTGAAGTGCTACAGTTTTTAAATTGCTAATTTATGCCAACTAATTAACATTATTGACACTCACACTTGACAAAATTTTAACATGGCACACAAGGTTTAGTTTGTGATACAGGTAGGAGTTAATGGAAGTGGAAATTGAGGATATTCCATTTATTTTATGACATGATGCACTTTAAAGCATTCATCTGGGTAGCTTTCATAGTTTTAATAGAAGAATTCTAAAGATGTCTGCCTAATGTAGTCACAAAACATAAGAAGTCCAAATTATTTTCATTGGATTCTGGGGCAATGAAAAACACCTTACAGAGGACAGGAACATCATGAAATGTCTCCAGTTTATAATCACAACAATTAGATTTGAAGTGTAAAGAACTTTCCTCTCTCTATAGCCCACATCACACAGAACTTACAAGACACCTAATAGCTAGTTGCACCAAGCTGCTAAAAAGCAATACTTTACATAATCTTAAAAATATGCAGCCTCTATTTAAAACAAATTCAGTATGTTCTACATTACTGCAGTCAGACAAGCTGCCAACATGGACATAAAGGTTCCATGCTGTCAAAAGCAGAAGAAACAGATCTTCAGCTACATTGAAGGGACAAATATGTATTTTTGTTTCACATATTTTGACTGCAAGAAGACAGACTTCTTGTTCTCTGAAGTTCAATTAGTCATTTCCTCTCAACTGGTAGTTACCCAATCTGAGCTTCATCATTCATGTCCCATCTGTTCATATGACACCTTAATAATAGCTCTATCCAAGAATATAAATCAGAGCTATGATACACAGATTCATATCCTGTTAGAAGCTCAACCCACATGGTCAAAAGTTTCAGAAAAGCATGGAAAAAAGGAATTTGAGATGTCTCAGTTGCACTTGTTCTCAGCAGCAAAGTCCAACCATGCAAAAAACACCAGTCAATGGAAAATTCTTTCAGATTCTTTTGCATTTAATCTTTAAATATTTCCCTTCTTCAGAGTGAATCCTGTGGTTTGTGTTTGAATCTCCATTCATGAAGGAAATCTATTTTTTCCTAGCAGAAAGCAGCAGAATCTCATTGGGATGCACTGCACATGCTGCTACAACCTTGCTACTATTCCTAACCCTTGTGCAGTGTAGGGTTAGCAATGGCCCCCAGACACAGCAGGAAGGGAAACATCATTTGGGCTGTAACAGCCCCAGCATTTTGGGGTGTATTAGCCTGAAAATAAGGGTCCATTTTTTTTCTATCAAGCAAACAGCAAGAGCTGTGAGTGAGGATGTTGGTGAGTGAACGCGCCTGCAGAGAGCTCTGCTGTGCTGGTGCCCCTCAGGGGCACACAGGCCCAAAACCTCACTGCTGCTCACTGAAGAGAACAAATGCAAGCACCTGAGGCTGCACACAAACCCCAGCTTTCTTCTGCATGGAGAGAATCCATCATTGAAGGGACCACCCAAAGCTGGATGAGTCAGAACCCCAGAACCAGACCTTCAGCACTATCACCTTCAGCACTATGGCTGGTACTTGATACCTTGTAAAGGTACCAAGCACCAGGCAAAGGTGCATTTATACATTCTAACTGCAGCAAACCTTGGAGAGAAACCTGCAACAAGCAAAAAAACAGGTGAAGGAGCAAAGAAAGAAAGCTAAAACTCGTGACAGAGTCCTCTGAAAGCTCTATCAGGAAAGCTCTGCCTCTAAAAGGACTGAAAAAATAATTTTTCAAACCTCAAAAAAACACAAAAAAGAGTTCCTGGTTGTGTTGATGTCAAGAAGATTGGAATCAGCTTCACAAAGCAGAAGGACAAGCAGATCTTTCAAATTTTATGCAGATGAGCTCATTGGAGACACAGAAGGAAACTGAGGCCAAGCTCATGTGGCATATGCCATAGAGCCATACAAAAATAGCCTGCATCAGAAGGTTCATGCTAACACAGTTTTATAAAATGAGTTTCAGGGAAGAACAAACATTGAAATGAAAATCATTTCTATTTCTGGGTTCCATTTGGGTCACCCCTTTTGAAATGTCAGCACTATTAACCATGCAAACAATACAGCTGAAGTTTCTTCTATTAGTTATGGCTACTGCAGTAAGGTTTTTTTGTAAAGAGAAAGAATCTCATTTTGAACCTTGCTCTTGGAGGAATATTGATTAACAACACACTGGAATTAAGGTATCTACAACCAAGGATCCTACCAAGTCAAAAACCTGGTGTGAGAGCTTTCTTGTAAATATAGAAATATTTAGATAATATCTTGTCTAGAAAGTTGTGCTTCATTACCTGGTAGAT